AGAATAATTTGCGATTCCTTTAAAAAGTCTTTTTTGTAGGAGGTAAATGCTCTCATATAAAATTGCGAGTAAATCTTATAAGAGCAAAAGACTGCAAAAAAATAAATAAAGAAGAGAAGAGATCTACAAATAAATATCAGAATGACAAATAAGTGGCGAGTTCCTTACACTCTTTGGATGAGTCACCTAATAATGTGTACAACGCACGTGGTTTTGTGAACGCATACATTTATATATTAATACTGGGTAGACAACAAGAATTGATAATTTAGTCAGAATTTATTAAAATTCAAGAGAAAAACTACTATTTTTATACTAACATATCTCTTTTACAGACATAATTATTGGAATTAAACACACATTTCAAAAAAAATCTTTTTTTCACACTCAAACTAATTTATAACGTTTTGCCTATAACTACAAACTCACTTTTTTCATTGATACCAAAATCACCAAAAATTTAAGGAGGATAGAGGCCCTATAATATCCTCAAAACTAAAAAATAGTTTTTAACACAAACAAAACTTTAATAAAAATTAATTTAATTTTAGAAGATGATGTTCAGAACATTTTGACTTTTTTCTTTTAGAACAGGCAAAAATCACAATTTTTATTCAATTTTTATAAATAATAGTTTATAAAATATAAATAATATAAAAATTTTATTACCAAACTTCTTATGCTCTTCAAATCACTTTAACACTGATATAAAAATTTCAAAAATTTAAGATTCCTCTGGTTGCAACTACCTTTTACTACTGAATCTCTCTATATATATATACATATATATATATATATATATATATATAGATAAACGAATTGGTAAAAAATAATCTGATGTAAAATATAAGAATGGGGGTAGGGTCCTCAGAAACATTAGTAATACTTATATACAATACAGATAAGAGAGAAGGAAGGGGGGGGGGGTTAAAAAAAACTTCCAAAATATGCCAACCTATTATTCAAAAGACTTCGCATTAAAAATTCTCTCTCAAATGAATTTATTATATTTACAATAATATGTTGTGCGTCAAAATTTTTTTTACCCTAAGTAAACTAAACTTATTGAAGTTGAAATAAATTATCAAATAAACCTACGCAAGTCAACTTGTTTTTCAATTTATATACATATATTAAGTCTCTTATAGTATAAGGGTTAATATTAATTTGTGTGACTGACGTAATAAAAAAATTATGTATATTTAAAACAAAAAATATTATTAAAAAATTTTATTGATATTTGTTTCTTTTTTATATTTATAGAAAATTCTTATTATATATAATAAATATTAGTAGAAAAAATTTGAATTATATTATTATAATAATAGAGATATTATAATTATTGTAAATAAAAGGAAATTATTTTAATAAACTTTATTTACTATATTAAAAATAATTTACTGAAAATTTTTTTTCCAAATAATTATTTTCTATATACGCACAAAAAATTAGAAAAGAATGCTAGTAATGCTATATATATATATATATATAATTCCGCACACCCTGTATATTTTTACGCTCTAACTAAAACCGAATAACACAATAGAATTGTTAAGAATCTTTTATCAACTATACTGTTTGAGTCTGAGAAGAGGAGACTGTATATATCATTGTTGATATTTTTTCAAGTCTTGCTTGGTATTTTCTCGGTCAATATGATTAGTATTGTGAATCATCTTTTTAAAATTTCTTCTCTATATTACGAGGAATTTTGGGAAATTTTTTTTTCTTATCCTCTTTAGAAAGAATAAATTAAACTTTAAATATTAAATTAACTATTATTTATATTTAATTTAAGGTATTTTAATAAAATCAAAAAAATATTGAAAATTTAATAAAATATTTTTCACGAGCAAAAAATATTTTTAAGATACAATAATTTTTAAAAACAATTTTTATAAATTCGAAAAAAAATTCTCGATAATATTCAACCAAACTAAACATATGATTTCCAACAAAATGTTTATAAAGAGATAAACTAAACAAACTGTGAAAATACACCATCTGTATAAAGATTCTGATAAGACTATAATAATTTTTGATAATGAGAGAAATTCTTATGCAACGCACATAATGTTGCAATATAGAATATTTTATGAGGCATTATTATTACTATTTTTTTTTTTTATAAAATATGATAAACTCATCCAGTAAACGATAACAAACGCGTACATCAAGAAGTAACTAGTTTTTAATTCAATGTAATATATATTTAAAAAAAAAGTAGAAGAGAATAATTAAAAAATAAATACTCGGCTCGTTTAATAAAAGAAAAATGTAATTTTAATTGCGCAAGCGATTAATTTCATAATTCGCAAGCATTTTCATACTCCCTATATATTTTTATTTCACGTATATGTTTATGCATGTAGTCAGATGTTTCTGAAAGGAAAATTCGATTCCAACACGTGTTATACATTTTAATTTCAATCCAAAAATATATTACAATCCATTATGAGTCAGGTGTTCAAAAGAGAGAAGTTGGAAAAAGTTCATTGAACAAAAAAAAATAGTGAATGAATAAGTGCATTTAATTTAAAAAAAAGGGATAAAAATGAAATATATAATACAATATTATTATATTATAATAAATAATAATAAATCGCATTAAATATAATACTAATAATACATGTAAAATTCTTAAAACAAAAAAAAAAGAAAATGTTTTAAGTATGTTACTCCAATATTTTTAAAATAAGAAAATTTACAATTTAAAATTTCATATATTGACTTTAAGTCAATATTTGACTAATAATATTTTCAAATTTCAAGTTAAAATTTTAATATATTCACTTATGTCGTTTACCTCTTTGTAAAAATGATTAATAATGTTATATTTTTCAATATTATATGTAGTCCTTCATTGTAGTATTATAACCTTTTTTTCTAAATGAGCTTTTTCTAAAAAGAACTAATATAAAATATGATCTAGTTTTTCAGAAAAAAAAAGTGTAGCACAAAAGACACAGGAAACTGGTGAACAATTATAAGAAACCCAATGCCACTGAATATAAAGCCATTCGCATATTGTCGCGAGGTCAATGCATTTACTGACAATTTAAATAAAAATAATATTTTTTTACAACTGCATATATAAAAAAAAGAGTTCATGTATCACTATAAAATTAATTAAAAATAATTTAGTGAATTGAAAATAGAAGAAATATTTTTTGTATAAAAATAAAATTTAAAGTTTTAGTATACTGAATTAATTTATTATTGTAAATTTAGAAATAATATATAATTTATTATGTTTTGCGACAAGATTAAAATTTACAGCCTTGCAAAGAAATATGTATATTCAATATGAAAAGAAGAAAAAGAAGAAGAAGATTACTCAATTTTTCTTGACGAAAACAAAAATTTTAATGCGATGTTTTACTCTTCTCTCTCTCTCTCTCTCTCAAGAAGAAGAAAAAAAAGAAATTTTATATTTTTCGAGACTGAATTTAAATGAGATATTGTGAAGTTACAGTGTATTTTAATTCAGTTTTAATTAGTTTTACTTTCTAGGAAGGTTGCATCATTGCAATCATAAAGCAGAAAATTCTCAGGGAAAATGGCAATTTTCCAACAATGCCTATATAGTATATAACGCAAACGGAAGAAGTTTTATGTCTCTTGATATGGATGTTGGTCATTTTATATATATATATATACATAGAACACATCACTTTCATTATAAACAATTCACAACTTGAAATAAGACTTGCGTGCGTGTAACACAAGATTCCCTTGACAATGACTTGTCTTATATTTAAAAAAAAGAAATCATCTAAGAGAACGTATACATTTACAAGTCGATATATATAGTGAAAAAATTGAGACCGAAAGTAAACGACATCCTTGATACATGATACATGAAAGCCTTGGATAATCAGGAATAAAATTCTAAATCCCTGTAAAATACACGTTTGGAAGAATCCCTGAAGTTCTCATTTTACGCTAAATTAGGAAAAAAGAAACAAAAGAACGGAAATGAGAAATAAAGTCGTTTCTTCCTTTTAAAAAACACTCTCAAACTTATCTTAACTACAAAAATTGCATAGCATGTTATTAATGAAAAGAAAACGAAAATTTTGTATGCACTTCGCCAGTTATGTGGAAAAAATTCATAATTTTTTATTTAAGATTTTAATTATTATAATCACTTTTAAAGAGAGAAACAAATTGATAAATAGTGGGGGGAAATTTGTTATATATTGTAAATCAATAAAATGAATATTAAAAAAATATAAAATAAAAATTAATTCAAATCGTTAATTAAGCTTATTTAAAAACTAACATTTAAAAAAAATCTATTTAAATATTATTAATTAATAACTTTATTAGAACCCATGAGTATTCTAATAAAAGAATTTTTGTTATTTATATGGCATAACCTCATTTTTAATTAAAGAAAATTTTATTCTTCAAGATTACTGATACTAAAATGTACAAAAGTTAAAAAGGTCATCAAAAAGAACTTTGTCATTTAGTGTTTTATTTCAATTTGAAATTAACATTGATAAGAAAATAATTGATAAGAAAAATCAAACACACAACTAGTAAAAACGATATAATTAAATTTAACTTAATGTTACGTACCAATAAAATTAAACATACTTAAACTTTACAAGTCGATTGCTTTACAACAAAGGAATTTTTTTTTTTCTAAAGAATATACCATAAATAACTTGAATTTACATAATTTCTAACAAAAACCGAATGTGTTTTATTTACATAATACATGCTTCGAAAATATAACTGCAATATTTTGGAGCAGAGGAGATTATTCAAATTTTCTTAAATTCAGAACTTTAAAATAATGCAAAAAAAAAAAAAAAAGGAAAACAATTACACAATTTATATTTGTAAACAAAAATTAAAAGAAATTTCGAGAAGAAAAATTAGAGTAAATTTGACTTTGAATTGTAATTCATTGAGGAAATAATTTGTACATAATTTCTACAACTAGTGATTTATGAGAAGAAATTTTATCTGTGGAGAAAAACACTTACCAAAGGACGCTGTTGCGAGATTCTCGAGACTCCTTTGTGTCCAGGACACTGAAAAATCCTTGTGATTTATACACAATGGTTTTTGTGAACAAGAAACCAATGACACATTCACAAGCACCTTAACTGCACATCAAATAAATTTTCCTCACACAATCGTCCTCACTGTCTTATCACCACGGTTTTATCACGAACGAAAAAAACGCGGAAATCACATGGGGAGCAATCAAACATTAAGTCGCATTGAAGAACCAGCTGCTCCAGCTGGCAACTGTGTTTTTGACCGACGAACTGAAATGCGCGCATGCGGTTGCAATAAACGACACTAGCGCCATATTTCCTTTCCCTTTAATTAAAAGAGCGCGTTTATTCAAATTTAAAAACATCTCCTCTCTCTCATTTACCGATCGAGTATAAAATATATTGTTTTAAAACTTTAGAAAAAATTAATAATTTATTAAGCTAAATAGACACAAAAATAAATCTTTTAGATAATATAATGTTAAAATATGAAAATATATTTTATTTTATTGTAAAGGAAAGAAATCAAAATGCAATTTGTAATGCACTGCTGCATGATAAAAAGTCTGTATACAGGGGTTTATGATAATTTAGTTCTTTCGTGAAAGATCGTAAATAATATGGAAGAATAATACATAGATAATGACATAATAAATTAAATTAATCATTTTTATTAAAAAAATAAATCGTATAGAATAACATTTCTCTAAAATGTAAGTTTCATGGGCTTTTCTTGAAAAAAAAGTTATAAATAAAGTAATATAACTGTTTTTCAAAAAAAAATTTACGATTGAACAATTTTCAATAATTTTAAAGATGTATAGTATAAATATTTTTTTTATTTTTTTATTTGGCAACGATTCACTTACTACACCTCCTACCTATTTCTATTTCCTTAACGTTATTTTTACAAACTACTCTTCTTTCACTTCTCATTTCTTATCTTCCCTTCGAAAGAAATCTTTTTCCAAGTCTCTTGGATCAACTTTTTTTTACCCTCTTTTTTCACCGCCCTTTTCTCAAACAAAACTTTCCCATTGTCTTATATGTATAAACAATTCTCCCGTTCCCAATTTTTGGCACCCTCGCACTCATTTTTTTCACACATCAGGATCAACTGTGCTATTTCTTTTGTTTCTTTGTCCATTTGTTTACCTTGGAGAATCTATTTTTATCGCCATTGTTTATTTAATGATATTATTACTTTAGAAATTAATGAATCTTTTTTTGCCTTATTTATATTTATCAATTAATTGATAAATTTTTTTTTTTTTATTTAATTCATTTATTTGTTGTGATAATTAAACATGAAATTAAAAAAATTAATTTGATAACATTAAAAATTAATTATACAAAATATAATTATAAAAATATGAACTAAAAAAAATATTATTTGATTCAAAATAATCGATTACTTGTCTTTTATGAAAATAAATATTTATTTAAATCAAATAAACATTAGAGTTTTTTTGATTAAAAAAAAATAATTATCAAACCGAGTCATTAATAATAAATTACTATATCCAAGAAAAAAATAGAAATGAAAATAATGACTTTATTCTTATTAAAAAATTAGTTTCAAAAAGTTACAAAAAAATAACAAAACACCATTTGTATTATTTTAATCTTACAAAACAATTGATTAACAAATGAATTTAATTTTAAAAACTTTTTTAGATTACTTAAATTTTAAAAATTTGATTGACATAAGTAAGCTAAAGAAATTTTGAAATTTGAAAACTTTTAGATTAATTTATTAACCAATTGTTTCATAATGTTAAAATTATTTAAAACAAATACAGTATTTTCAGTGCAATTAAAAATTAAATTTTAATTATAATTAATTTTTAATTACAAATCTCAAATATGATTGATAAAATAAATTTAGATTTCAAAAATTCAACTTCTTATCATTATTTAAATTTTGTAAGTTTTTTTTTTTATTCTTAAATTTTACTTTGGTAAATCTCCCTATAAGAAAATGATTTTTTTTTATGTCTTTATAGTAAAATAGTTAAGCTTGTGAGCTTGCAAGTTCCAAGAATAGCGCAAGCGCAAAAAGCTTACGACTGTTGTTGTTTCCAAGGAGCTTTCGGATGATTGGCTGTAACATACAGCCAATGGGGAACTTTTGGATGTTGAATTTAAACTTTTTCCGGTTTCGAGGGATTCACGGGGCCACGGGGGCAACTACGCAACCGCTATAACAGTCGTTTGAATATTACCACCGTTTCTACCAACAACCCGCGACAGTTTACGAAATAAACTCCAACTCTCCGTAACATTTTTGATATTTAAAAGAACAATTATTTTTATTTTTCTATTGTTTATTCGTGAAGAGTTTTTTTTTAAAAAAAAGTTTTTTTCGTTCTCATCTTTTTTGCTCAAAAGTGTAGTAATATTTAAAAAAAAAAAATTATTGTTTCTTTTTTTTTTGAAAAAACTAAAGTTAAAACCACTTAATCGACACGATGGTATGTTCTATTGATGATATTGTAAGTCGTCGCCCTGGTAAAAAATTCCTTATTAAGTTTTTTATTTTTCTTTATTTATCTCTCCTCTTCTTTCTCTATTTTACTCACATTCACGCACACACTTCTTGAAAATTATTTTATTTTATCTTTTACAGTTCTTAATTTTCTTAATTGATATTTTAGTATAAACAGTAATAATTAATTACAAATTTTTTATTTTTTTATGAAATAATTTGGTTTTTTTTTCTCAATTTTAAACTATTTTTATTTTATGAAATTTTTTTTTTTTATTTATATGAAAATAGAAAACAATTTTTTTTTTTTTTGTAAAAATGTGAATTAAAACAGAAACGAAATTTCTTCTTTCATTTAATGGAATGAATTATAAAATGTTTGAGAGAATTAGAAATTTTGTAAAAAAAAACTATTTTAAATAAAAAAAATTTCAAAAAGAAATGAAATTTTTTTTTAACAATAAAAGAAAACTGTAAGGACTGCTTTTGATAAAAATAAATAATTTTCCTTCTGCATATATATCTGTTAGCTCTTAAATTGTGACTATACTTTTAATTCTATCTTGTGCATTAAAAATAAGCTGCAATTTTTTAACTATAATGATAAAAATATCGATGGATTTAAATATTTTTTTCGTAAAATTTCTTATAATTTCTTTTAATGTAGTACTGTAAAAATATATTTTGTTTATAACTTTCTTATCTACAATATTAAATATTTTATTACAGAAATTTTTTTTAAATTTATATTTATAGAAAAGAATTATTTTTTTTCTATTATTAAAAATATTTTTTCATATTTACAATAATAATCTATTTAAATTTTTTATAATAATATTAATTATGATAATAATAGATAATTTCATTACAAAATTTTTTTCACATACAGTATACACTTAATACAACAAAGACCTCAATGTTAGTTAAAAAAAAATATGTAATAATTTTTTGTAGTTATAAAAATTGCCTATCCTTAATATTCTATCTTTTCTCTATATTTATTTCCTCTCGTTTTCCTTCTATGTAAATGCCTGATTATTGTACAATCTACTTTGCACTCTTTCTTGTGAAATTTTCTGCATTTTGATTTTTTTTTTTAACAAAAAGAGATGTAAATTTAAATTGTAACAAAATTAATTTAATTTTTAACAGAAAATTTAGAGTAAAATATTAAATTAAATATTCTGCTCAAAATTCTTTTTTTTATAGAGAATGTTATTGATTCTCAGAGTAAAGTTATTTTTAATAGCAATTATTTATATATATATATTTTTTTTTATTAAAAAATGTAATTTATTTTTAAAAAATACAATTTTTATAAAAATATTTATTTCTGCATTGTAAATTAGAAAATTTTCTTTTTCAAACGAATACAACATTTTTTTGGACCAACAATGATTTATTTAATTTCTAATAAAATTTCCCATATGAATGAAAAATTTTTTTTAATTGAAAAAAATATTTTAAAAATATTAAATCATGGGACACACGTTTTTAAACGTATGAAATATTCAAATATTAAAAATAATTGTCGATTTCTCGCATGAACAGTTGGCATGAGGACTTTTTGTGCTTTTACAAAGTTAATTATTATAAAAAGTGCTATTTTGAAATAATTCATCAAAAAAAAAATTTAATTTTTAAAACTACTTAAAACATATTCAAATCTATTTTAAAATTAAACTTATAAATATTTTTCATTTTACAATTTTTGTTTAATTGTTCATTTATTTTACCCACTTTCTTTTCATCAGTTTTTTCTATCTTTTATGTTTTTATATTTTGAATTGAAAAAAATATATTTTATAAATTAGAAAATGAATTTTTGTACAATTGTAAAAAAGTTTAATTGTAAAGCACTGTTTTAAAAAATTTTATTTTTGGCATCTATTGTTCGTTTATAAGAACTAGAAATAATAGTATATTTATTCGTATTTGTTTATAGGCTGACGAGCTGCCGCCAGAGCAGATTGCTGGTATGTAGCAAAGTAAAAAAATAGAATTCTCTCTATACTCAATTGACTTCAAGTCGATAAAAACTGAATTCATGGAATTACGTCAGTTATTCTAATCGATACAAAAAACAAACTTTCTTTTATACAATTTTCGCATTTTATTTTCCACGAAATGTATAATATAACTTTAAATTATTCTCTAAAATCAAATTCAAATTATTTTCCCCTTTTAAATTGAGAAAATAAATTTTTTTTGTTTATTAAAAAAAAAACTATAAAATATAAATTAAATCATTTAAATAAATTTTAATTGTTAATTAAATAATATTTAATTATATTTAAATTTCTTTTATCATCATTAAAACTGTAAATCAACATAATGTATTGTTTAATTATTAAAATTTAATATATAAATATTACCTCTTTTATATGTCTAATTAAATAAATTAATTAAAATTACATGAATAATTATAATAAAATGAATCGAAATTATTTTACATTTTATAATATTTATTTAAATTTAAATTCTTTTTATCTAATTAATTACTGAAACAATTATTATGATGATTATTTATTCATTTTCATATGGGGTGAATAATTTTATTAATATCCATTCTGATTCTAAATTTAGTTAATAAATTTCTATTTTCTTGAGACGTAGAGTTTTTTTTACGTTTCATTTTATTGTATACGTGAGTCATTGACAGGCTCTGGTTAGATTTTTTAAATAATATGTTTACATTTTAACAAAACCTACATTTTAGCAAAATCGTTTCATCTTCTGGTGAAAGCTATTTGTCCGCGATTCATTTTCCATGTTCTGAATCATGAATCAAAATGATGGAAGCATCTGTTATTCAACCAAGTTTAAAAAAAAATTCTATTAATAATTGTAATTTTTTTTTCACTACAATATCAAATTTCGCCTATTTAATCTTGTATTTAAATACAATTTTCACCTTTTCTACAAGCTCAATAAAATATATTTTTTATTTATATATATATATATATATATTATATTTATCTCTAAAAAAATTAATTAATTGTTTTCGATCACTTTATTGTGCAAATGAGTAAAATTTCTAATTTATAAAAATTAAAAATAATAAGATGCATCAATATTTTATAAAAAAAAAAAAAAAAAAATTGGGGCGTATATATTTTTAAATATAATTTAAAAATTGTATTTTTGATTTTTAATACCCGTCCTTCGACGTGGACAACATTTTCATGGAGAGTTCCAAAATAAACATGCAGACCACCCGCTCTGGACTTTCTCATATTATTAGAAATCTAGATTTTATATAGTTCGTTGGTCGTGGTTTGTTTTAGAAATACGAGAATATTTGAAAATGATTGTTCCTTGGAAAGTTATGAACAATATGTTTTTTTATCAATTAAATTCATTATTGTGAAAAACGACTTACCTAGTATATTCTGGATCGAACTAAATTTAGTTCTCTTCTCAATTTGACTAGATGTTTGTTCGTCTTTCTTTGTCTCTCATTTCAAACCAAACGTCATAGGCAAACCTCATTTACACGTTCCGGAAGGTGGCCCGGGGTCTGTAACTATCTTTAGTCCTTCTTTAAATCAAAAAGCATTACACACGTGGATATATCCATATGTATATTTGTTCCCTTCACTCATCATTCGACATGAAGAAGAAATCCCAAAAAAAGATCTTCCCCTTGTTTTTTTTCAAATATTCCCCACTTGATACTCTGCAGTAGTGCCTAAAATAAGAAAGAAATTTAAATAATTTTCAAAATAATTAAACATGAGAGGAGAAATTAATTATTAATAAAGTTATTTTTTTTTTAAATGACATTCAAAAATAATAAACAGAAAAATGAGAGAAGAAAATTTTTATAAATATAATAATTAAATTATAGATATAAAAATATTTAAATAAATGATGATAAAGTGTGGAAATTATTAAATTATTTACTTTTTAACAAGTTTGATTTTTTTATTTCACTTGTTAAATATTATATGAAATGAAACATTTGAAATAAAATATGTGATATAATATAAATATGAACTTGTAACTTCTAAGTATCATTCAGAGATGATTCTAAATTTTGATAAAATATGACGGAGAAACATGGATTTCCGGAAGATTTCTCCTACTTAGACTAGTTTTTAATCAAATTATTTACAATTTGTCGTCAATTTTGGCTGTATTCCAAAAATTACTCTTAAAGTAAAATGCAATAAACAGACTTATAGTATGACTTTTTTTCAAAAATTACCTTGAAAATTCAAATTTATTTTAATTTATTTCTATTATTGCATATATATTATATATCAACATTAATTTCATATTCATATTAATATTTATTTAAATGCGTATTTCAATATTTCTTCCAAAATATTTTATTTAATATGTTAGTAAAAAAAATTTTTAAATGAAGCATAAAAAAATTCTTTTTCTATAACATCTATTAATTACATTGTCAAAAAAAAAATAAATTTCATATTTCTGCTCCTGGGATAATTCTTTCCACTTTCCATAGATTTTTTTTAAGCGGAATACAAATCTGCAATGAAAAAAGCACTAGCTTAAAAAAGATGGAAACTTAGGTAAAAACCAAGAGTATTTTTTGGCAAATTTGTATGCAGCGTGAAAAAATTTATTAAAATTGATAAGAATTATCTCAGGATCAAATTTTTAAAAATGAAAGTTCTAGCATTCCTTACAGTTAAATATTAGAATTGCGTTTATTTCCTCCGAACATTAATTTCTCTCATTCCTTCAAAAATTATTTTTTTATCTCTCACTATATGATATTTTTGTTTCAAATAAGAATTATACTTAAAGTCAACCAATAAATAATTTATATTTTATCCATCTGAAAAATAAATGGAAAATTAGTTTTATAAATACAATTAATGAATTTTCAAATTAATTTTTTTTTTTTTATAAAAATTAAATACATATATTACAAAATAACATTCATGTCAAATTAAAAAATTAAAATTAAAAAAAAAACAATAAAATTCAAAAGCCCTTTGACGAGAATTTGCATTTATTTTCATAGTGTTATTTAAGAATATTTATCAAATTGCAAAATTCCATCATGACAAAAATCGTGATTTTATTCGAGAAAATATACATATACAACTTGAAATTTATTGGTCACTATAAGATTTAATCGTATAATGAATGTTTAGGGATGTCGTAAAGCATAAATAAGAAATCAAAATGATTTCTGGAGCAAAGTGAGAGTTGAAAATTTTTTGCTGAATTAACGTAGAATCGGTCGTCGTGGGTGATAAATAAACCGACTAACCGGTAAGAACGAATGTTGCAGCGAGCCAAATAAGTTTCGGGCCAGAATCGCAGGGGGAATGGAAGGAAGGGCATTAACATCGGATCTAAATTCGAACACATTGGCGTCAGCGTACGCTTGATGATTTCTACACTCGGAAAACCAAATTTAACATTCCCTTATTATAGACTTTACTTTCATTTATTTTCCTTATAAAATTATTAGAAGTCTGTATATATATATATTATAATTTAATAACAATAAATATTTTGCTATCAGAATAAAAAAATAGAAGAAAATTACGAGAAAATAATTTTAAATTATAATAAAAATGTCTTTTTTTTAAATTATATATATATATAGGAAAATAATTTGTTTAATTAATTAATAATAAATAAAAAGAAAAATTAACATAATGAAGAAAATGAACTTTTTTTTGTAAAAGTGAGAAAATAATTTTTTTTCTTTTTCTCTTTAATTTCTAGTCTTGCGCAAGGCTTTTGACAGTTTTGACAGGGAAAAGAGTGGCAGCATACCTACTGACATGGTAGCAGATATTCTTCGACTTATGGGACAACCTTTCAACAAAAAAATTCTCGATGAACTTATTGAAGAAGTTGACGCCGACAGTAAGCGAGAGAGAAAATATTTTATTGTAAATCTATTAAATTGAAGAGGGAAAATTTAGGGAAAAAAATTTATTTTTTTCAGAATCTGGACGATTAGAATTTGAGGAATTTGTGACTCTAGCAGCAAAATTCATTGTTGAAGAGGATGCTGAGGCTTTGGAAAAAGAGCTACGAGAAGCTTTCAGACTTTATGACAAAGAAGGTATATTTAATAAATTTGTTTCCTTAAAATCTTTTCAAGGATTTATCAATTTCATTTTTAATTTTTACCTTGAAAATATTTTTCATTTCTTTTGAAATTATTTATCATTTCTTTTTAAAATATTTACCTTTGCTTTTTTGAATATTCAACTTCTATTTTAGAAATTCCACTCTTCTTCTTGAAATATTCGTTTGCTTCTTTTAAAATATTCTTTTCGAAACTTTTTCAAATAATTGTCCTTCCCTTTGGAAATATATTTTCACAGGCAACGGATATATTCCAACGACATGCTTACGTGAAATCCTCAGAGAATTGGATGATCAATTAACCGACGAAGAACTTGACATCATGATTGAAGAAATTGATTCTGATGGTTCTGGCACCGTTGATTTCGATGGTAAGCTAAAAAAGAAAATTAATTACTATCATTCATTATTTTTTAGTTAAAATTTGGTTCATCAATTTCTTTATACAATTTTTGCATAATTTTATCTGATTTTGAGTGAAATTTTCCACATATTTAAATTGTTTTCTATTTTAATTAAAATTGTAAAGAAAAAATGGCTCAAACTTTGATTATATATTTTAATTGGAATTTCGATTGAGACTTTTGCTTATATAGAATGAGCACAAAGTGGATTTTGGTCTTTTTTGAGTTTGATCAACAGAAGGAGCACTTAGATCTCAGAGAAACACGTTTATTTATACATGTGCCATAATTTGGAGCGATCTCGTTTCCGCGCGCTACTTTAACTCGGGGGCGTAAGGAATCGTCGTGATTTATCATAACAGTTTTGCAATACACATACTAAATTTCCTGAAGCGATTGGATTCGATATTTTGCGAAAAATCCATGCCTCGTAAAATTGCTTTTAAACTCATATCAGCAAAAAAAAAAAAAAAAAAAAAAAATGCTACAAATTTCTTTTTTTAAAAAAAGTACATATATTTTCGATTTATAAAGTAAAAAGAATTGAAAAACCAAATTTCTAATTATTTAAATTTAATAAATATTAATTAACTAGTGAATTTATTTATAATATTTAAATAAAATTTTAATTGCCTATATTAATTGCTGATTATAATTACTAAATTTCAATAATTTTTTAATTTGAAAATTAAATTAAAGTGAAATTGATCATTAATTAAATTGACATTAATGAGGGATAACAAATTATTACAAAATTTGTAGAAATCGTTAAGACTCATTAAAAGCAATAAAATTAAATATGATTTTTAATAAAATGAAATTGATAGTTTAAAATAGTTTTCGACACTTATTTTAATTGGCTATTACTTAGGGCAATATTAAGAATGTTGTGATCAGCAGTGAATCGAGTTTTTGGCGAGAATTTTCTGGCGAACTTACAGAATCCACTGTATATATAATGCAACAGATCATCAATCATATATACGAGAAGTTCAGGTTGGATAGAAAATTTTCTAATGCGCAACGAAGTGCAAAATTTTAAAGTAAATAATATTCCATGTCCGTTGAAATTTTACACGAGAGTAACTTAAGAAAAAAAAAATACTTCTCATGTTCCAAAAGTTCAGTATCAAGGACTTGGCATTCCTCAAACTTCTTCTTCCTCCTTTTCACACACATATATATGATGATGTTGATGATCCACCCACTGAGACAAGCTTTCTGAAAGAACATGACATTTTTGATTTATTGTCTGCATTTACGATTTCTGTCAACGTGAATGCAAGCACAGAAATTTCTTACTTTTTTTTTTACTTTTTTGAAAAGTAATTCAAATCTTGAAACAGTTTTGGACATTTTGAAAGAAAAAAAAGTTTTTAATTTTTTTTTTAACTGTAACAAAATTTTTAATTGCAATTTATTTATTTATTTCTATTTTTTAATTAAATTTGAATTTATTGTTTATAATTTTGCAATAGTAAATTTTACAATTCTAAAAAAGCTGTAAAGAATTTGCATTTTTACAATTGTAAATAAAAAATTTCACTTACCCAATTTCTCGATTCAATATAAATCAACAAACATTGAAATTCTTTCTTTTATGTTCTAGAATTTATGGAGATGATGACTGGAGAATAAAATATTGAAAGGATGAGATGAGAGAAGACCAATTTGGTGCAGCAGTCATCATTTACTTTTACTTGTTATATTGTATTTTCAACAATTCGATGAGAATTTGTCTGAAAAACATTAAAAAAAAAAAAAAAATATCGTAAGTCAGAGAAAAGGAATAACATCTAAATATTGTCCAGAGATTGGATAAAGCGACTCTCTTTGGACGTTAATTCGACAATCACTTTGGCTCGATTTTCTATATATAATAAATACAATTTTTACTATACATAAGTTACACTACACTCCGTTCTTACAAGAGCCTACTTAATTTTCCATGGTCAGTATTTATTGTTGTTAATAAAATTCGCTAGAAAAAATGATAGTGTTGTTATCTTTCAATACCAAACAAAGTAATGGAAATTTTTTAATTTAATTTCTAACCATCTTTTGCGTTTTAAAAATTAATTAAATAGCATATCCCTTGATCAATGAAATTTAATTATAATTAAAAACAAATTATTTCCACAGTGTAATTATCTTAATAGTAAAGTTAAATGAATTAAAATTTAATTTAATTAAATAAAAAATTTTAAAAAGCTAAAAATAAATTAATAAGGTTTTTAAAATTCAGTGGAATGAGACATCTACTCTTCTAAATCTTGATTTATTTTAACATTTAATAATTACAATCACAATAATTTGAGAGTCCTCCGTGTAATTGACAATAGTCACAAACATAACAGAGTAGTTGGTATTTCAATAGAGATTTCGATAAAAAAATAGAGCCGCTAGCATATTATAGACTAGGTTGTTATTATTATTCGATCAAAAATCTCGAGCGAAATCAATTTTTGTGCTCTGGCAATTCTTTTCGTACGAAGAAGCGTTTGACTTGGTCATGGGCACACTCGATCAGAGTGTTTATAATAAGTATCATCATAAACTTGGCATAGATCAAAGGATTCACTTAAAACTGAAAGTACAATAGATCTTTCTTTCAGAAAATGAAAATCTAACTCTCTAATCTTATGATTTAGATTTCTATTTAGATGTTTACATAAATTAAAGACTAGACTATGATCCACGATATTTTATCGTAGAGTTGGCAATTCTTTACTCTTCACTACATTCTTATTATTTATATATATATACTTATATAAATTTATATATATATACATATAGTATCTTGATATTTACGATCATTTATTACACAGCAAGATAGAAATATATTTAAAATCACTTTTCATGAATTTCAAATATTTAATATCACCTTTTAGTGGCGATTTTAAATGTTAAAAATCAACTTTTGCATATTTTAAATATATTCTAAAATCACTTTCTGTATACTTTAAATTATCTAAAATCACTTTTTGTATATTTAATTATCTAAATTCATTTTTTTTTGTATATTTTAAATATCTAAAAATCACTTTTTGAAATATTCATAAAGCTACTTTTTATTTGGACCAATTGTCTAAAAAGAATTGGCCAAAGAAAAATTGGAATGAATTTGACTTTTCTCTATGTACAATAAATTCGATAATTTAAATCTTTTCGATTTTTCTTTATATATATAAATAAAAATTTGCTAATTAACTAAGAGCTAAAATTAATTAATAAATATTTAAATCTCGTATGAGATTCTTTGGATTTTGGCATTTTGATTTTCTATTTATTACTAATAAAATAAGATAACGAAAAAAATATTATCTAGAAAAAGTAGTACAGGCGTGTATAATTATTATTTGTATTATCTGTAAAATAATTATTTTCATAGAATTTTTTTCCCCAATTTTGGAAAATCGCTATTGCAAAATAAATATTACAATTAATGTCTATTCTACTTTTTCAATATAATATTTTTTTTATGGAAATATATAATATGTAAGAGAAAAATAGTATATCTTTTTTTTGCTTCGAAGAAATCGTTCCAGATGTAAATATTGTGGAAAGGCTTCTTAAACGAGGGTTTGTAAATCGTCTTCGTCTTCCACCTTGGGAGATGAAGGTGATGGAAGTAAATGTCACATTTGAAATAAATGTGGAAATTCATTGCTAATGTCTCGCACCAACTGTTGATCTTCTTGACTTTCAGCAGTTTCCTCGCAAAATATTCTGCAAATCGTAAATCAACAACGTAACATTCTTTCTATATTTATTCAACTATACACGATGATATTAACCTTGTAAAACTTTTTAAAACGTCCTCAGAACGATGTCGATGATCATTATAATTCGACGTTCGTAATACACGACGACACAATTCCAAATATTGCCTTCGCTAGAAACATTTCAATTTGTTGTATTTTGAAAAAAAAAATTATTTTCACACTATTTTTATAATTGAAAAATTATTGACTAATAATTTTTCTTTTAGTTTCTATTAATTATTTAAAAAAATAACCATTGACGTGTTTGTAATTAAAAAATTTGATAATTAAAAAAGTTTAAAGATTCGTTTCATTGAAATTTCAATTTAAAAACTTACCCTGTCACCGGGAGAAATATCAAATAATTGCCTCAAAATAATATCAATCAGAACTTTTACGTCATTTGTATAAAAAAGATTTGCCGTAACTTCTTTACTGAATAAATCGACAAACATTTTTAAAACAGAATCTGGCGGCGCCGGTTGATGATCGAAAATGCGAACAGGATCCTCTACATCAGAATAAAAATGAAATTTTTTCTAAAAATGTGAAAAAACTGAAAGATTTCAAAAAAAAAATAAATATAAGATGAAAAAAATAGAGAAATACAAATAAATATTTTAAAAATAATTTTAATTAAAAAGAAAGTATATTAAGACAACTTTATTACCTTCTCGGTTTAGAAGAAATAAAATCTTTTCGGTAAAAATTTTGGCAATTGTTCTCCCTTTAAGGGCATTCAAAACAATATTCTCCGATGCCATAAACTGCAAATTGTATGATAGAATGAGATTCACAAATAAATCAGGAATTTGATCATCCAAATCATTATCCGGAGGATTTTCAATCAATTCAAATAAAAATTCTATAAAGTCCATGCCGAGTTGCTCTATTGAGAATAGAAAAAAGATATTGCGTAAAATATTTAACTTTCATGTATTGCAAAAAAAAAAAAAATAATAATTTGAAAATATTTTCTTATTATGAAGAGGAAGAAAATTCAGAATTAGTTAAAATTATACATATTTAGAAAAATTGTAATTATTACCTAAATGTGTAATTGGCATTGGTTCACCCATTGAAAATATCATGGTGAGCAAAAGAGACGAATAATTCAATTTTGACACATTTCTTGGATTTGCTCGCATGTCTCTATTTTAAACGAATAATGGTCAATTTTATAAAAAAAAATTTTATCTTAAATTATTTTAAAGGGAATTATTTGAAATTTTTCATACCTGGCCATTTCCATTGGTAGAATGCTATTTAACATAATTGTCAAAGCTATTGGATCAAGACTGCACATTACACCAAAAGATTGTAAAAGTAATTGCCTAATGGTCCATCTAGGTTCCATTTGATAATATTGAATTAACGTTGTCACTCCGTTATATTGATCTTGTCTTAAAACATACCTTGAGACATTGGCATCAGCGTTTGTCTATAAAAAAAAAGAAAAATTTTATTAGGTAATTTTTCATTTTCAATAAATAATAAAGTTTAAATATAAAATGACAAATAAAAAGTAAATGCAAAATATATGATAAAAATAAATATATTTTTAATAACTTACAAGAATAGATGTAAGCTCTTTGATATATTCTAAAATTATGGACTCATCTTCATACAGCATCCAACTTCTCTGCTGAGAATCTTCCTTACAAGAAGTGAGCTCCTTAAATATTACTTTTAACCTATTAGCATCATATGTTTCTTCAATTGTCATTTTTGAAACAGTAAGTGGAACTTGAAGTTGATTTAAAATTTCCTCCAAATAGTGACTCACCGAATGTGGAAGAATTTCATATAAACCAACGACAACAACAGAAACGGCAACTTTTGACATTTCATAACTAAGTTGAGTATTTCTTCTCACTTGATCCAATAAATGATAGGCGGTTCTTGGATTAATATCAGCTGTACTTGATGTTTTATTTTTTACCGGCGAATGATTTGGAGATTTAACTTTAATATTTTCACAAATATTTTTTTGCACAACATCATCTGGTGGTAAAATTGCTTCAGATGCCGATTGACGAGTTAAAGATTGTCTTCGTTTCTCGGTAGCTGAATCCCGTCGAGCTGATAATGCTGTTTCTATTTTATTTGATTTTTCATTTTGATCATTTTCATTTGATGCATTGTTACTTTTTATTGAGGCATAAGTTGCATTACTTGATGTTGATTTATTATCTTCAGTTGAATTATTACTGACTATTGGAATTAATTCATTATTATCCTTATCGGGTGTTGTATTGCCAAAATCAGGTGGCATTGGCGCTTGTTTTTTAGTTTTTTTACCCTGTTCTGCATAACGTTTCTTATCTTCTAATTTTGATAAAATAGCCTGTCTATCAGTGACAATTGAACTTTCTTGTTTATCATTGTTAACCGAAAATAATTTAATACATTCGTCTAAAAAGTCTATAAAGAATTGTGGTTGAACCTGAAAGGGGGTGTGGAAAAAATTTTAATATGATTTTCATTTCTAATGATTAAATAATTAGATATAATTAGAAAATTTTGATGATAAATAATTATTTTCCAATTTAATATATGTCAAACCTTTTCTGTTGTCGCGTAATTAGAAGGAATAAAACCAACTTGACCCTCTTTATTTATAACTTGCCACCAATTCCTCTGTTTTGTATTTGATTGTAAGAGAACAAAAAGATCATTCTCTCGAAAACTGAGAGCTTTATGAAAAGTTGCATTAAAGTCGTATAAAGCTCTAAGCATTTCATAATTTCCTGAAAAAAAGAATTTAATTGTTAACATTTTGCTAAAACATTATTGAATCAAGTAAAATAATATATTTTAACAATTTTAAATTAACATAATATGCTTTATTTAATCTTATTTCATTATATACACTATCATTATCAAAATAATTAATTTAAGGCTTAATTGAACATTTGAAATTAAATTTATTTATTTTTATTAAAGTAAAATAATAATTGATTACTGTATAAATGATCATTTAATGAATTAAAAAAATTATTCAATTTTATTTAAGGGCATATTTAAAAATAATTTAATTTTAATTACTTTGGATTAAACTCTCTTCATAATAAAATAAACAAAAATTACATACATACAATTCAAATGCCACGCCTATATAAGATATATACAAAATTATTGATTTGACTAACGTAAATTTTTTGAATATTTTTTTGATATTGATAAAAAGAATGATTTCAAGAAATTGGAATATTTTTAAACATTTTGCTTCTGGATATAATTGATTAAAAAATTTAAATAAAAGTGACATTTTCTTGCAAGTTTTATTTTTGATATGTACGTATAACATAAAATAACTAGTTAAAATCTTAATTAACAACAAACAATAAATAAGATTAATAACAAGTTAAGTGAAATAAATAATATATATCTTTTAATTTGAAAAAAAATTAGAATAAAAATTTAAATTTTGTGGGAAAACATTTTTTTAAATAAATATACCTGTGATTAGAACATAAGGTCGATTTTTAATAATTTATTTTAAATGCATATAAATTCTCAAATTTAATACAATAATTACAACAAAAATTATATTGAAATTAGTGCGGAAACAATATTTTTGCAAAAAATGACATTTAGCTCTTATATTTTTAATACATTTTTTATTTTTAATTTTCGTTAATATAGATAATAAGTTAATGAATCTTTATAAATATAAACAAAAAAATACTTGTTATTTATTTTATTTCATAATGTTCTTCAACATAAAGTTAATGAGTAAGAGAAACTACCCCAACATAAACATGGAACATTCCTTGCACCCGCAAACGTCAAACACTTTAAAAAACTAATAATTATTTTTTCTAAAATGATTAAAAAAATATGACAATTTTTTTAAAATACTCAAAATTTTAAGAAGATTTATCTTCAAGTAATAATGATCTAACATTTTTTTTTTTTTGTTAATAATGTAAAATTTGAAAAAATAAATGACTTACCTAACCTAGCCTGATTATTGTCACCCATGGTTGAAAGTGAATGATTAAGTTAATCGTAATATTCACTAACGGGCAACGCCCAGGTGAAAAGTAGATTATTGAACCTGTATTTACAATCCGACATTAGTTTCACTTTCATTTGAACTCCATAACATAATTTTTATTTGTCTTTTTCACTTTCGGTTTATTATGCGGATTATGCGGGTTTACACATGCAAGCAGACAAGAAAGTCACACACACTTGTACACAAATGGCAAAAGTCCATTTAAATGAAGATGTCGCTTTTTGCAATCGGGTTACCGGATAACCGATTCTATTTTTATTTCAAGTTACCCTGAAATAAATATATTATAAGATTTTTAAAATCTTATTGATTAATTACAAAAATATATATATTTTTTGCTAAATTTAAGTTTTATTCTTTTTAAACATATTTTTCTATTTATATCAAGAATAATTTAATTTTTTTGAAATATTTAGAGTTCACTTATTTATTTTTTCATTTTCTTATTATTTTTTAATGAAAATAAAATGAGTTATACTTTGAAATACTGGTAAATTTAAATTTAGATGAATATAATATTTATTGTTAAATCGCAGGAAAATTTTTTAAAGAAAAATTAAAAATAACGCAAATTATTATTATTAATATTAAACTTTTATTATGAACAACTTTTATGTTACAAATACAAAAAATGAGTTTGTACAGTTCACACGATTGATTTTAATTTAATTATAAATTTCACTATGGTTAGGATTCAAACATACCGACACCATAAAGCAGATTTCTGCGGGTAAAATGAAGAGCAAAAATTGATGAATTTTTCGTTGCAAATGTTCTCAAAAGATAGGAGTCGGCATTTGTTTTTACATCGGGATTATGAGATACATTAACATCCTCTAAACTCATTTCCTCCGCTAATTTCGTAAAGTCCCATAACTTTATTGTACAATCTAACCCACCTGTGAAATAATAATTTGTCTTATATTCTTATTTTCACTTTCTAAATTTTCTTATTTATTAAAATATATAACATTCTTTTTTTTAAATTAAATTTGATCGAGATTAATTTGAATTAATAATTTTTTTTTGTTTTACCTGATACAAGGAGTGTTCCGTCTCTACTGAATGAAAGACAATGAATTATGCTTGTATGTCCGGATAATGCAGCGACTAAATGTCCATGTGCAAGATCCCAAACAAGCACACGATGATCAGCACCTGCAGAAGCCAAAAATCGACCCTCTATAGAAAAAGCAAAAGCATATATTGGAGCCTTGTGGCCAGTCATTAATCTCACTTGACTGCCAGTAACACAATCCCACAATCGAACAGTCATATCACTTGAACCTGTGGCTATATAATTTGAATTCGGATGAAATTGAACGACCTAAAAGTAAAATTTTTCGATATAAGAGAATTTTTACGAAATTTATATATATTAAATAATCAAATTAATTTTCTTACATCAACATCTGAAAAGTGACCAGCGAATATTCGAAGTGGTTGAGGACTATCGGATGCCCAAAGTCTTGCTGTTTTATCATGACTGGCTGTTGCAAAATAATGACCATGAGGAGAAAATTTCACGTACCATACAGGAAATAAATGTCCCTTGTAGCACACAACGCACGTCCATGTATGAAGAGACCACAATCTCACTGAAACATTTTTTTTTAAGACATCATTTAATTAATAAAAAAAAAAAAAATAACAATTATCAATTAAAAAGTATAAAATTCCAGTTTAATTAAATAAATACAAAAATATACCAATAATAAAAAGAAAATATTCAATTTTACCTGTTGTATCTTCAGAGCATGATAATAAGAGATTTTTATCAGGACTAAATGATAAACAATTTACTGGTCCACTGTGTCCATATAAAAGCTTCACCGATTCTGATGTTCTTTCATCCATCATTCTCACCAATACATCATCTATTTAATTAATAACAATTTATAATTCGATAAATAAATAATTGCCAAAAAAAAAAAAAATTAATAATTCTATATTTGAAAATTCACTTACCAGCTTCTGTCACAATTTCAGCAAGCTGTTCAGAATTTTTCATTACTTTCAATTTTTGTGGAAGAAGACTCCAAACTTTTATAACCGAATCGCTAAATCCAACTCCCAATAAACTTGAATCTTCCGATATTTCCACGGCCGTAATACTGGTGTGAAAAAAAAATCAAATACAATACATTTGAAATAATTATGATATAGGCACATAAAGATAATAATTTGTGAAATAATCAATATATAAATATTCTATTTACCTGTGAACAACATTTAAAAGAGTATAGAAACAAATAGAAGGTAAACAATCTGGACCAAGTTGAACACGTTTTGTTGCTTCTCTGAGAGCTTTAATTTTCTCCATTTTATCCGCATCTTTTCTATTAACAAAAAAAAAGTTTCTTCAAACAAAATCAACTTTAACCCTACGTTGCGTTATTTAATTTTTTTTTCATATTACTGTATTGACTAACAAAAAATATATAAATTAATAAAATTTGACTTAAACATCTAGTTTCAATATTATTTATTTAACCACTAAAAATTCAGCATTCACATAAATAATTAATATATAGTAAAATCAAATCTACAAAATGTTAAAAATAACTGTTTATTGAAAAATTAAATTATTAATATTAAATAAAAAATTTATTTTCACTATTTAAAAATTTAGAGATAACTTACAAATTTGGTAAAGGCATTCTTCCAACAGGAGGTGCATTGGGATCAGATTTTGTTTTCTTTGAGAATAGAGGATCTTTTTTCGGTTTCTTTTTCTTTGGTTTATCTCCTTCTCCACCTCCCGTATCTTCCTCCTCTTCCTCGGGAGGATTCACACATTGAATTTCGGGCTCCTTTAAAAGTCCATAATAGACTTTTGCTTTATTATCTAAAATAAATAAAATCTAAATATATAGTATTCAAGAAAGAAAAAACAATACTAATGAATATAAATTTAATTATTTTTAATTAATTTGATAAATTTTTTGTTACCTTGTCTTGTCGCTTCTCCTAAAATTGCTCCTGATGTGGCTTCAATTTGTTGTTTATTTCTAGCAACACCTTCATACATATCGAAATAAAGTCGCTCATTAATGATATTTAACAAGCTATTACATTTCTTTTCCTGTAAGTGACGTTTTAACATTGATAGCGTGTCCCTTGACATTCTTATTATAAATTGATTTGATCTAAAATTGAAGGATAATGTAAGAAAATTGTTTTAAAAACAGTCAGTGTTATTAATTTTATTTTTCTTAAAAGTCAATTTTTAGTAAATATGGTTTACAATTAATAAATCATTTTTTATTATCATTTTGCTTCCTCATGGAGGAAGCTTTGTAGTCCTTTCGCTTTGTAGGAAGGTTTTTTGGAGGAAGATTTGTAGTCCTTTCGCAGGGTGTCTAACAAGGATTGAGAAAAAAATTCCCTGACTTTTCCATGACATTTTTTGATTTTTTCCTGACTTTTTAATAACCTTATTTCTGCTTTCTTTGGACAAAAATATGGTTACTAACATATTTAACAATAAATTAATTTCTAATAGTAGTAACAAATGCTAATAAAAACCATTCAAGTTTTTTCAGATTAAAAAATTTTTAAATTCACAAAACATTTTAATTTTTGTAAAAATTTACAGAAATTTCCCTGACTTTGAATGGAATTTTCTGAAATTCCCTGACTTTTCGCTGACATTTCCCTGACCAACAAAATTCCCTGACTTTAGCTGACCGTTAGACCACCCTGTTTCGTTTATAAAAATTTTCAAAGTGGCGGAAACAAATTTTTTTCTATATAGAAACATGTTATATGAGATCCTGATCAATTGTCCGGATGTATATATATATATGTGTTTGTGGATCCCTTTTTTGTTTAGACGATAACTAACAGGTTTTAATGGATTTAGATTATTCGAAATTTTTTTTTAATCGAAAAAATTTTTAAATAGAAAAATTTAAGGTTATATATAATAAAATCGTATTCCTTACGTCAAGACAAATCGATTGGTATATATAAAGTACTAGCTGTCGCACCCGTCTTCGACGGTTATAATATTTAGATTTAATAAATTTTGAAATTTATAATTACATCCAACTATGCGTGTTCTCCTGTATTAAAATATCTTTTTATAAATTTTTAATTATTATTTATTCAATTCAATTTAATTTTTTCACTGCTTTTAATAAAATTAAAATAATTTAAAATTGTATTTAATTTTATAGTATTGAAAATAAAAATTATTTTAATCAATACAATTTAAATTAAAATTTTAAAAAACTTTAAAAATTATTTGAAGAATAAATTTTTAATAGAAAAATTTCTTTTAAATAAAATGAAAATAATTTAATTTTATTATATTTATTATATTATATTTAAGTTTATTTAGTTTTATTATATTTAAAAATAATTTGTATCTATAATAATAATAATAATAATAATAATAATAATAATAATAATAATAATAATAATAATAATAATAATAATAATAATATTCAATAATAATAATAATAATAATTTAAATATAATAATTGTTAATTTCAAAGAGTAAAAAAGTAATTTTCGATTTTTTATTTTTACAATATCTGATTTCATATTCAGATTTGCAATTATTAATTTTAAAATTCTGATAAAATTCTTAAATTAAAATTCTTAAAATTTCTTGTTAAAAGCATACTTAATTGGTCACAAAATTTTAAATAAAGAACGTTTAGTAAAGAATTATCAAAAAATAAAAAATGTTAAATATTTTAAATTTTTTGAAAGTGTCATATTTTTGTTTAAATTAATATTTTTCATTGGTGTGCAGCTAAGATTGCGTTTAATACCCAACAGACTAAAAACATTATTGTTTTACTTATAAAAAGTTGAACATGACGAATTCTTATATTACAATGTTATTAAAAAAATTGGAAATTCAAAAATTTGATTTAGACTTTTAAATTCAGACTATTTACTTAATTTAATAAAAAAATTGATTGCATTTATGTGAAAAAATTAGATACAAATAGTTTCAAATCAATCTGACAAAAAATAAAAAATTTGCATTTTTTTGATTTTTTTAAATTTTTTGAAAAAATGTCATAACTTTCGTTCATGTTAATATTTTTTAATCAAAAATGGCTAAGATTTTAAGTTACGTTAAGACTGAATACGCTGCCAAGTTTTACCTTAATCGGTTGAGCCGTTTTAAAGTTGTGCCGGTACAAAATATTGACGACAGACAGACAGACAGACAGAATTTTTATTTATAACATATTTGTTATCTTTACTACTTAAAATGATAAACTATGCAAGAAAAAATTAATTTGGAGCAATGTACAGACAAAAGTCTGATTTTATTAATATAGATAGTTTCAATTTAAATTTAAAGAATTAATAAAAGTTAAAAAATCAAAAATTCACATTTTGGCAATAAAATTTTGTGATTTTTTAAATTGAAGTTTATATATGAAATAATTGTATTCCTTGCATGAAAACGAATCGATTGGTATATATATAAAATTTACATTTGTAAATAATTATAAATTATTATTTTTCATTAATTTTCATAAATTTCAGCTAAAATGTGAATTTTTGATTTTTTAACTTCCATTAATTCTGTAAATTTAACTCAAATCTACAGGTACTCAAATGTTTATATTATTATTATATTATTTTTGTATGTTTATTTCAATGTTAATGCTTTCTCCACGAGGAAGCAAATTTTTTTGCTGATCGTAAAGAGGAAGCAAAATGTTCATGTAATGAACATCTGAATTTACAACTTGTTTGAATTAATTTTTCATTCATTTAAATTAAATAATACCTACTTGAACGTGTCAATGAGTTCATTTCCATCCATTTGTTCTCGTTTTGTGACATTCGACAAACGTTTCAAATCGGCTTGATAATAATCCTCCAAATTTTCACTGTATTTTTCCAATATTTCTTTAGCTTGTATAGAATGATTATTGTATACCAATTCCAGATACATGTTTACCAAAACAGGATATAAAATTGTACCCAATTCATGCTGTAATTATTCAATAAATAATAAATATTTTTCTTTTTTTTTTTTAAGGTTCTTCTTTCTTATTTCATTGTAGTTATATTATAACTAATAAAATATATAACTATATAAATATTTATTACTAACCTTATAAATATCCAAGGAACCCTCGACAAATTGTTTTAATTCACTGTAAGATTTTTCATAAAGAGCAGGATCACCTTCGCTTTTGTAAGCGGATAAAACATTGCTTACTTCTGAATCAGTTTGTTGGCTTTCCTCGAGCTGTACATCACTTAAATTGGCTTCTTTTCTAAATAAATCTTCAGTATTCTGAAATAATAAGATAATAAATATAAAAAAAAATTAGTTTCAATTTTATAAAACAAATAACTATATATTAATTCAGAAAATTGAACAGGAATTGTTTTCTATTAATAATAATTTTTGAGGTTAGAAATTGAAAAAAAATTGAGCCTATTATACTTACTTTGAAATTATATTTTCTGAGAAGCTGTAGCATAGCCACCATAGTTTTTTTATCGTTATCCATGATTGGTCTTTTTTTTAAGTTACTTTATACAACAATAATTGTTTCTTTAAAAAAAAAAAAAAAATTTTCACTCGACATTAAATGTCACTTTGGCGTTTGTATACAAATCCATTGAAGTTGTCAACACTTTCAGTTTAAGCAGTGCGCCGAGAATGGCGCTGTTCTCATTTGATGCCGCGAAATTTGAATAATAAACTTAATGAAAAAACATTTAACAACAATATTCTTGAACTAGATAATATTAATTTTTTTACTTATTTAAAATTTTAAAATAATCAATTCATAGTGAAAATAATGTATTTCATATCCATATAGTTATTAATACAAAACAATGTGTAACACTAAAAAGTGCAGTCAGAACAAGAACACTGATTATACAAATTTAAAAAATATTTTCAACAAAATATAATACTTTCATTGTTTGCATATTCATAATGTAGAAAAAATGTTTAAAAATATATTATTATGTTTTCTAAAGTTATAAATTTTATAGGAACAAATATTCAAGCTTCGTTGGCACACCGGCATAATAATTTACAATACTTTTAAAATAGAATTTTTTTTTTACACATTTTGGTCACAATAAGAGTTAGGAACATTCGTTTAAACATTACAAGTACATTAAAAAATATATATCAACAATATATATATATATATATATATAATCAAGTTGATTCATTAATCACATTAAAATCTGATTTTGTCAAAAAAAATATTTCTCCCTCATATTATTTCGATTTTCGATGTTTTTTCATTTAATTTAAGTCTTAATATTGTATTTTTTATTCTATTCAATTTCCTATTTTCTATTCCTGCTGAGAATAATTTTCATTTAATTAGATGCTTAATAATTGAATAGTGTAAAATATTTTTTTTTCTCAATGTTGAAGAGATGATTTTTTTTTTAAATAATGCTTCTTGAGATTCTTTTTCAGCGTACATCAATCGAAAACGTCTATTAATAATTAGTTATCGATAAATGCAAGATTACGGACATTTGACATGAAGAGACAATGTTGATTATTTTTTGGTAGATTACGAAATAAGGGCGAGTAAACATTTCTTGTAGTGTCCAGAACAATCTCCCTGAAAAGAGAAGAAATTATTTTTTTTATAATATAGTATAAAATAGAAAAAATTTGTAAAGTTATGAAAAGAAAAAAAAATTATGGAAATTGATTAATAATTATATGATTTTTATAAATAAATTCAAACCGAAATCATATCTTCTAAAGATTTTCCATATTTTTCCATAAAAGCCTCTTTTATCTCTCCCATATCTATTTCCGAACGAGTGACAACAAGACGAATAAGTCGACGATCATTTGTTCCTAAACCTTTCATACTTTTGTAAAGTTGTTCTGCAAAAAATCCTGCTCGATCTTTCACAACTTTCACTGAAATTATAAAAAAAAATTAGAAAAGCGAAATTTAAGTTAGAAAAGATAAAATAATATAAATATAATAATATTCACCGATAGCAACAAGAGCTTTTTTAATGTCTCCGGAAAATTCATTTTCAATTGCTTCTTCAATATCGTGTCCTGTAATATTTGCATATTCGGAGAAAATTTGATGCAGTTGAACAATATTCCTTTGCACTAGAATCGCATTGAATACAGACTCATCAGTTCCAAATTGAAGTTCACCTGGAAAAAATAAATGGCCAAAGAAAGAAAGAATTATATATAAATATTGTAATTGCTTTTTAGAATTTATTTGATTTAATTAATTAATTAAAATTAACATACCAGCCTGAAGTAATTGTCTAGCGTCTTCCCGAGCGGCTTCTTGATCAACGTTAAATGATTCATCACGATTAGCACAGCACAAAGAAATCATCAAACGCTTAAAGTGTCCTGAAGTGTCGTCCATTATATCATCTTCCAATGGTTTGCCAAACACTAAAAATTTCATATTTTAAAAAAATTCATTATTTATTTTCTTTTAATAAATTTTAAATTATGCATGATTGAATTAAATTTTTTTGACTCATTTAGAAAGAATATTTAACAAATATTAAATAAATTTGTTTAAGTTAAAGAAAACCTTTGTATTGTAAACTGAATTAAAAAAAAAAATAAACTCACTCGATTCGTAGGCTGACTTAATGATATTAATTTCATGATTTGAAAGTGTGCAGAGAACTTCAATGAGTACATTTTCATCGGTACCAACACCTGACATTGCATCGTGTAATTCTTTTGCATAAAATTGAGGCAAGGGCGTCATCATAGCAAGAACAAGATTTTCGAAATTTCCTGACAACTCCGATTTCAAGTCCTTGATAAGATCCTGTTACAATGAAAGACAAATATTAAAGTATTATATTTTATAATAATTAAATTTTTCTTAAATAAATTAAAAATATTCTAATTATTAATTATTTTAAATTAAATTTTTTTAATATTTTTATAATCTTTGTAAATATTTAAATTAATTTATTTATAAAATTAAATTTAAATTAAAATTAAAGAAGAAAAAATAATTTTTTTTTTTACCTTTCCATAAAGAGTTTTGAATTGAAGTTCGATTTCCTGGCGTTGCATGTTGGGACGATAAGCCAGGACATTGATAATTGCTTTCTCATCGGTTCCGAAGCCTTTCATCGCTTTCCGTAAAGCTTCAGCATCAGCTCGTGAATCAAAATCCTCTTCTGGTACAACAGTGGGTGAAATCTGAAACAAGTGAAAAATTAAGCAATTAGAATATAATATAGTGAATTAATAGATTTTTATAAGCAAATGAAGCAGTAGCGGTCTATTTTATCCTTGTTCTGCGATTGATGAATTTTTAATGATTTCTTTCCTTTTTTTAACATAAATAAATGATATTTATGAATAAGAACCAATAGAACGAGAAGAATTGAAGGGTTGAGACGCAGGACAAAATACTTAAAGCAATAATTAAAGGGGAAATAATTAATAAGAAGAAATGAAACTGCTAATATGTAAATATGAAAGGATTATTATTACACAATTAGAAGGATTTTAATTAGGTGAAATTTTTTTACTATTAATGTTTGTTAATTTTAAATCATCACAGATTTATACATACAAAGGAGTTCAATACGAATTATTTTACATCTATACAAAACATATATGGGCGAAATCACGTGAGATTTCCGTCGACTCTTTAAATTCGGTCAAATATATTTTTTTCTTGTTCTGTAGTGAAAAAAAAGAGATACGTATTTTTTTATTTATTTTTATTTTTTTTTTGAAAAATTTTTGAGTTATGAATTTTTAAAATTTCAGTTTCTTCAATGTAGACCTATTTTCAATGGCTGATAACTCAAAAAAAAATGGATTTTTTCAATTTTTGATAAGAAAAGAAAAGTTTCAGTTTTTCTTTTACTTTTCAATAATGTTAACAAAATTGAAAAAAACTAAAACTATTCTTTTCTTATCAAAAATTGAAAAAATCTATTTTTTCGAGTTATCAGCCATTGAAAATAGGTCTACATTGAAGAAACTGAAATTTTAAAAATTCATAACTCGAAAATTTTTTAAAAATAAAAAAAAACATAAAAAAATACGTATCTCTTTTTTTCACTACAGAACAAGAAAAAAATATATTTGGCCGAATTTAAAGGGTCGACGGAAATCTCACGTGATTTCGCCCATATACATTTGATTAGTGATATACTGGTTAATGATAACTATCTAGACACCTTAGTTATTTTTTAGTTAAAATGATAATTGAAAATAGTATAATAGGGAAACTTTCTATTTCTTATACGAATACATATTGACAAATCAAGAGAAATAAAAATATGGAATACAATTTGAAAATAAGAGAAAAATATTAATTACACAGTAAAAATAAAATAAAAATAATTCAATCTGTATCAATAATAGGTCATTTAAAATTTTTCTTTTAAATTTCTCTCTTACGAAACTCAAGTTTTGAATTTGTTCCAAGTATCATTAAATATATTGCTTCGATTTGGCCTTGAAGGAACATAAATTTGCATTTGGTTCATAAAAAAAAATTGGCTCATTCGCACAACAAAACATTTTTATTGTCTGAATGCAAAAGTAATCCAAAACAGAAAAATTCTTTTAATATCTCGACTAATTTCGATATTATCAAAAGTGACACATGATATTTCTCTTAAAATTAGAAAATTTTTTTAAAAACATAAATATTTTGTTAAGTAAAAATTTTGATTAATAAACATTCAATTGAAAAAAAAACACTTCCTTAAACACATTATATATTTTTGTGAATATTCTGTTAATAAGTGATAAAGAAAATTTGCTATTAAAAATCTGATTAAGTATAGAAAAAATTTCTTTTTACATATATAATCGTTTGAAATATTAAATCTATTAATTCGCTCAATTAGAAATTTGAGCTAATGAATTTTAGATGAAAAATTCCTAGTAAAATTTTGTTATTTTCCACTTTTAGTTACTGATAAAAAGGACAAGTTTTTTTTTTTTTTTTTTTAATTAGTTTCGTAATGGACGCACATTGAAAGGATGAGTAAGGTCGCATGATTTTAGAAGAAGTCTCACCTTGGGTTTGGCTTTAGTTATCCGGGGGGTTGGGGCAGCATAATGAGTTGAATAAGAAGACCTCGAAGCAGCTTGTGGTGGATAATTAACCCCAGTACCCTGCCCCCCGTGATAGCTCCCGCCTGTATATGGTGGAGATGAAACTGATGATTGTGATGGATTAGGACAATAGGATGGATTTTCTAAATTCTGATGTAAATCTGGATAGATTCCAGCTGATGATCGTGAATAGGAATTACAAGATTGTGACGATTGGGTCATGTTCATATTCATAGGCATGCTTTGAGGTTGAGGCATTCCCATTTGAAGATTCTGATGATGCTGAGGCATTCCAATAGGCATAGGCATTCCTGCTTGAGGATAATATTGTTGTTGTTGTTGTTGTTGAGGAAAAGGCATTGAAGGGGGAAGATTTCCTTGATTTGGATAGGGATTTGAAGATGGATAGGGACTTGAAGTAGGATAGGGATTTGAAGATGGATAAGGTCCTGAAGAAGGATATGGACTAGAAGAAGGATAAGGACTAGAAGAATAAGGAGAAGAGGTGGGATAAGAACCAGTAGGATAGGAAGGATTAGGTTGAGGCATTCCAAAAGAAGTGGGAGGTCGTGAAAAACCCAAATTACCACCTGGATGATTAGGCGGAGCACTGGGGGCAGAGGGTGTACCTGGGGGAAGACCAAAGGACGTCGGTGGATTTTGTCCTGGGAATGGCGTCACTGGCGGTCCCTTCCGGATTTAAGGAAATAACGAAAAATGTGTAACATTCGGTGCAAACTACATAAAATATTCTTTTCTAATATATCAATAGTTAGTCAGTTTTTATAATGTGTGTCTCTTTTATAAAAATAACGAAATACAAAAATTATTATAAACTAAAATCTTCTTTTTTTTTAAACAAAAAATGAAAGAAAAACTTATTCAAATTTATAATGACTTTTAAAAAAATGTGACTAATATTAAATCAGATTTCCCACTTATTAATAACGCAGTATTAGAAGAATAAAAAAAAAAGTATCTTACAAGTTAAATATATGTTAAGATAATAAGAAAGGAATTAATGATCTTTTATTGATAAAAACTTACCTGATAGCCGTAACTCATTTTGTTTATTTTTTAATTATATTATCTTTCCTTGAATCTGAAAAATAAAAGATAAATTGTAAAATATACTGTTTATTGAATTATAATTACATTCAATTGTCTCTTAATCTTTTATTTGCATTAATACGTAATTATTTTGATTTTTAATTTAATTGCAAGAATAAAATTATTTTTAATATAATATTTCATTCAAGTCTGATACACAAAATTTTGCAACAAGGATGAAAGTTACGACATAATTGGTGCGTATGATATAATTATTACTCTTTTGAAAATCAGCCGGAAATAAGATGAAATAACAATAAGTTGGCCGTAAATATTGTATTGGATTTAAATAATTATTATCATTATTATAATCGATATTATGTAAAAAAAAAAAAAAAAAACCCGTGAATTTGAAATTTTTATATTTAATAAAAAATTCTAAAACAGAAATTGCTGGTAATAATAATAATAATAATAATATAACGTCACACTTCTAAAGTGTTTCTTCTACTCACCGGATAAAAGTAATTTTACATATTAACAAATAAATACAAAATATATTAAATTAACAATTAAAACAAATGTTATTTTTATATATAAATTAAATTCTAAACAAAACTGTATTTAATTTTTATAACTAATGCAAAATTTTTATGAAATAATTAAATACTTACTTTAAAACGAATTAATAAAAAAAAAAAAAAAAAATTGAATTACAATTATCGTTTTAATATCGTAATAACGAAATTATCGTTTTATTATAATGAATAAATTGATTAGTTATAAAATAAGACAATTGAAGCAATAGATATTGGAATGAGTCATATCTTTGCGTAAAAATACAGTTCTCTATTTTTTTTTTTTTTAATCGATCTTCCGTTATGTTAAAACATTCATTGCAATATTAATGAACAATTTTTTTAAAATTGTTTATAACCGGCATTCTCAGAAAAAAAAAATTGTCAACTTACCAGACTATATTTCCGGAGAATTTAGAGTAGCAAATTACAAACTTGACTATTAGAGAATCTTAACAATAACGCAAATTAGTAACAACTGCCTATCTGCAATGGTACAGCGCAAAAGGTACAACTGAGTACAACTATAGAGTGAGATGGGCGCACGAATGCGACAATTCACATATAAGAATGAATTGCAATAAGAGGGAGAGAGATAGAAAAAAAGAGAGTGAGGGAGAAGAGAAAAAAGTATTCTCTCAACTATACAAACGATATATACGTATATATATATATATATAGTATATGTGACTCAAATTCAATGCATACGTCAAAGAGCCACGTCACTGGTTTTTCTGTTGCAACCATTTCTCACTAACACAATTACTTACTTATTTAAAGATAATTGCATTGTATAGCTGTTTTGTTATGTCACATATATTATAGGAAATTTTAATTTAGAAAGAAAATACATCTGAACACCACCTTTCTGAAGAAATAATTTCTTATATTTACATTGATATATTTTAAGCCGGTGAAATAAAAAATAATAATTGTTAATAGAAACAATTTTTAATATATGTGAATTCTATAAAAAAAAAAGCTTATCATCTATTAATGCAAAAGTCGTGTACTCCAAAAAATTAGGTTATGTTGTTATCTATGCATACGTATCATTTTTTAATTATTTAATGGAATCAGATAACTAATTTTTTAAAATTTTGCCATTTAAAAGTTTTCTAAGAAATATAATTATACAATTAACTGTCTATTTAAATAATTTCTTACCTTTTGAACCTTTTGGAGTTCACGTGTATTATAATATGTAATAACCTTAAAAGTTATCTATCAAATTATCAAATTCAACAATATTACAATAACAGGATTACCAACTTTAAGGATTTTAGTTGTGCCTGTATCAAAATCCGAATTATTAATATCGACAATATCGAATCATCATTATTATTAATTTACAGTAACTATTTTCTTCCATTTTTATCAATATTGTGTTAAAAAATCTTTGTTATTTAATAATAAAGATTTTAATTTTTTACATAAGCATTTAATTTTTCAATGTTTACAGACTTGGAAATTTATAGTTTTTTAATTTTTCAAAATTCTTTCCAAAAATGAATTGAAGATCTTAAATTAAATTTGTAAATAGTATTTAATAAAAAAAAGAATTAAAATTAAAAATTGTTCTTTCTAGAAGAAATATATATTCTAATTGGAAAAATTAATTTTACTTGAATTAATTTTGAAATATTGTATTTCTAGGGGAAAAATTGGGGAAAAGTGATTTAAATCGATTGGCAACATTGCGTTCAGTTAAAAGAATGCTTCACGTGTCTCATTGTTCAGATAAGTTCAGTTTAGTTAGGTTTCCAAAATGGCAGACGTAGTGAATACTGTTATTACTCAAACTGCCGAAAATTTAACAAAAAATGCAAATGTTACTGGTAAAATTCCTGCAACTCCTGAAGGAATGGCCATTGCCTATGGAAGCCTTATTATCATGGCGGTTTTACCAATATTTTTTGGTAGTTACCGGTCTGTTAGACACCATAAGGAACAGCGGGTTAGTTACTATTTTGTATTCATACTTTTCAATCTCTTACGTGTACTTTATCCTCATTTACAAATTTCATTAAAATATTAATTTTCACTCTCTTATTTTTCAAAAAATAATGCATAACTATTTTTACAATTCTTATTTTTTTTTATTATATTAATTTTTTCTATAATAAAGAAAATGTTTCACGTGTATATGTCGTTAGGCAAAAAATTCGACACTAAAAATCTTTCATTAAACCTTTAATTTTTTATATTTAATTAAAATCTTAAATGAATATAATAATTAAAATATACTATTTAAAACAATTTGTTGAAAAATAAGTTTGCAAAGTTTATTTTCTTTGAAATTTTACCAGTTTTTAAAAATAAAATACTCTTCAGTAAATGCCACGTGTTATTTTTTTTTAGTTATACATATGTCAACGCTGTCATGAAATGTATTTCCTTATTTATGTATATATATATACATATGTTTATGTATATGTGTAACATCTTGGTGATATTATATCAAGAAATGAATGTGATTTTATGTCTAATTAAATTAATCGATATTTCTTTCTATACTTATAGGTTTTTAAAAAATCAATTTTACTTTTTAATTATTAAATCAAGTATTATACGTTGATTTTTTTTTTGCTTTCAATTATGAAAGTCAATAGATTGTAACCAGAAGTTATTTAAATATGTGGAAGTTTATTGACGTTACAATCTTGTATTTTTTATTTTATTGAGATAAAAATTCAAAGCATTCATTATAAGGAAAATTTTTTTTTTATTTTGAATATTATGTGAGGATAAATGAATTAAAAAAATATAATTATACCTAAATTCATTATTAATTATCATATAATTTATTAATTAATATAAATTAATTTAGATTTAATTAATAATTTAAGTTTATTTATATTTATATTTAGTTTACGAGTCGAAAAATGTTTTTTTTTTATAGGGCATTCTTAATTTAAAAGAAATGAAGATTAAATGAATTTAATATATTGAAAGATATTAAATGTTTAGAGAAAAAATTAATTTCTGTTTAACATATGTGTTATAATTTATTTATTTTATGATTTGATTATAGGAACACTTTGAAACAAGTGGAGAAAAACCTGAAACAATGTCACATAAAGAAGCAGCTATGTTTCCTTTTGTATCAAGTGTAGCATTATTTGGATTGTACATATTTTTTCAGGTAGATAATGAATATTTTATAAAAAAAAAAAAAAAATCTCTTATAATTGTCTTATCTTACGAATTCTCAAACAATTTTATATTTTATTTAATTGCAGATGTTTTCTAAAGAATATATCAATTTGTTACTAACTGGTTACTTCTTTTTTATTGGTATTTTGGCGCTTAGTCATCTTGCAAGGTAATTTTGATTAAAAATTAAATTAAATTTTAATTACCATTTAATTAATTCATATTTCAAAATTTCATTTAAAATAAATTTAAAATATTTTACAGTCCAGTTATATCATCGTTAGTACCTGCTGCGATACCAAAAACAAGATATCAAATACATTTTACTGGAGACAATGATGATATTATAAATTACAAATTCACACTTCACGACATTGTCTGTCTCTTTTGTTGTTCTCTCGTTGGTGTTTGGTATATTTTAAAGAAGGTAAATTTGTCAATTTCAAATTTTTCGTTATTTTTATTTATTTTTTTTTTTTAAATTATACTTAATAATAAATGTAAATTTTTTTTTACAGCACTGGGTGGCAAATAATCTTTTTGGAATTGCATTTGCAATTAATGGAGTTGAATTATTGCATTTAAATAATATCGTCACGGGATGTATTTTACTATGTGGACTTTTTATTTATGATATTTTCTGGGTTTTCGGTACGAATGTAATGGTAACGGTTGCCAAATCTTTCGAGGCACCAATTAAACTTGTTTTTCCACAAGATTTAATTGAAAAAGGTCTTGGTGGTAGTAATTTTGCAATGTTAGGCTTAGGAGATATTGTCGTACCTGGAATTTTCATAGCATTATTGCTTAGGTTCGATCATAGTTTAAGTAGAAAATCGAATACTTACTTTTATACCACCTTTTTTGCATATTTCATGGGACTGCTTATAACAATGTTGATTATGCATTTATTTAATCACGCACAACCAGCACTTCTTTACTTGGTTCCCATGTGCTTAGGAACTCCACTTTTACTTGCTCTTATCAAGGGAGACATCAAAGCACTCTTTTCGTACGTATTTTTGTTTCTAAATATAGATTATTCATACATTTCGATTCAATATTTAATTAAATTATTAATTATTTCATTTCAGATATGAGGATCATCCTAACAAACCAGAAGAAACAGCAGCAGTAACGGCAACACAGACGCAAACGCAAGTTGAAGCGAAAAAAGTGAAGTAATTTTTCATACTTAATTTATTTGTAAAGCCGTGTGAAACATAGGTAGCATATTTTGTGATTCATTCATCTCTCAACAAAAAAATAATGTATCATAGATAATTGATCATAAAAAATGAGAAAAGAGATTTGTAATATATATATTCATCGACGTAACTCAAATTGCATCTATGTTTCATACTTATAATGTGGTAAAAAGGACAAGTTCTATGTAAATTAAGGAACTTTCCTTATTGTCATTAGTCAATGATAACTACAAGTCTTAAAAGTGAGCGAGAAAGTACTGATTTTACTGAAACAAACAAACAAACAAACAAACAAACAAAAACCTGTAGTCTTCAAACGCAATTTGTTTTTGTTACAATATACAACTTTTTTTTCTTTCTTTCTAATTCACTTTCCGTTCAATATGCGACAGAAATGTGATCAAGTACTGAAATTTAGTGAATTTTTTTAGTTTTTCCTTTGATATATTACACTTCTTACACTGTCCGTTAAACAATTAAGCTAATTAACTGTTCATAAACACAATAAAATCATTCCGTTATTATTTTATAACAAAAAGATTAAAAGTTCGATTAACAGTTGAAAATATGCCAGTTTAATTTTTTATTATTTTATCATGTTTCTTCCAACCCTTTTTTAAAGGGATTCTATTTTTTTCATTATATTCTATATATAATTATTTTATTCTCATTGAATTAGAATAATTATAAACAATAATTGTGTTCAATATAATTATAATTTTACTTCATGTCTTCTAATTATTTTATAATCTACTTTTATATTTTTTTGAGAATGTTTTTTTTTTTGTTTCAATGAAGTTATACAATTTTTTATAAGCACTTCGGTATTGACGAAATTATCAAATTTTCTGGCATGTTATCACTGTTAATATCGAACAAGTATACGAGTAAAAATAATTGTTATTGGCATTGAAACAAAAAATAATAAAAGAAATCCTTGTATAATACAGGGTTAATTTCGCGCACAAAATTGAAAAAAAATTTGTATTCTTCCATAAAAACTCAAAAAAAAAAAAAATAAAAAAATTGTTATTTATTCGTATATCTATACTTGCGATGTTTTAGGTGTACAAATTAAATTGCTATTTGGCATCGCTTTAAAAATGTCCAAATATTTAATAAATCTTATAAATCCTTTGAATTGACTTTGTGATTTTCTTGTATATATGTATATATATATATAAACAAAACATGGCTGTTATAAAATAATATAAAAAAACTTTATCAACTTTCTTATTTTTATTGAAATTATATAATAAAAAAAACAAATATGTTTTGTTTTTTATGTAGAAAATATTGAGACGTTATTAATTAAGCTTTTGCTGCATTCTCGACTGCTAGATTCTGTGCCATTATTGGTGCCATTTCCGTGATTCCATCCTTGGATATTTTTTGTACTTTAAAATTTGGTAAATTTACAATTAATCGCTTATGAATTTCACGAACGCATGTTTTCATTAGCTCATAGGCTTCAGCTTCTGACATTGCTGAAATAATGCAATATTTTTCATCTAGTTAAATAATCTCAATTTTAATATATATTATAATTTTTAATTTTTTTTTAAAGAATAAGACAAATTTTTCAAAATATTTTAGTTGATTTTAAAAAATGTTCTGTAAGAAAAACTTACAAGGATCGTAAAGCCTGTCAAGGATGGTAAGAGAAAAGAATCCACCATAGCCGTGTGATGCATAAGGAACTTTTATACATGACGCTAAATAATCTATGAAATAAAGTTCTGGACCAGTTTCATCGTCATGACCAGCTAACAAAAGATTCACATGATATGGCGTGCGAGATCTTAAATAATCCGCAAGATTTCTACGAGTGTAACTGGCTACAGCTTTTGGCGATAATTCATATCCATTTCGCATTTTATAAAGCTGCATATTTTTACTAATGTATTCGGAAAATTGAATTGCATCTCCAGCTTCTCCCGAAACTGCCATCACAACCTTATCCGAAATCTTGTGAATTTTTTTTTCGTCTGCAATTTAAAAATAAATTTTGTTTCCCCATTTAAACAGCTGATTATTTTAATTATATATTCTATATGTATAAATATATTATTTTATTTAATCTAAAATTATGCAATATTTATTATAAAAAAAAAGGATTCGAAAATATAATAAAAATAACACTTTTTTGAAGTTTAAATGAATATTTATGCATAATGTTAAAATAGAAAAAAAAATTAATATCAACGTTTATTAAATAAACTTGTGACTTAAATATACTATAGTTAAAGAAATTTGAGTATATAATTAAAAAATAAACAAACTTTTGGTGAATAGCAAATATATGCAACTTTTGAGGTTAAGTCAAGAAATTAATTTCTTACCGCTTTTTAATACAACAATGGACATTGTATTTGTCATATCCGCAGCTACTAGTACAAAATCTTTAAATTGAATACCAATTGAACACTCCATTTTACTTGATGAATTAACAATAAATTCTTTACAAAACACCAAACTCACTTTTTACACTATGAAAAATCGTCTGTCATCCAAAGAAATCAGCTTGTTTCACCGGGTAAAAATTCTTGTGTTCTAATGATTTCATTGGCTTATTTTACAAAATTCATGAAAACTATCCTTGAATAATTTAAATGTGACATTTCTCTTGTAAATTTGTCCACTGTTGTCCAATTACAGCGCAGAGTAAAAATATGATGATTTTTGGAACACTTGAATTTAAACACCACAAAATGACCGCCAAATCTTCCATGTTTATACGTTAAGTGTCAAACAACGCCAAATTGTTTTTTTTAACTTCTAATTTTATGCATCATGTGGAAAATGTTTTAAAAACATTAATTTTAAACTATTTTTTGAATGGATAATGAAGTGAGTTAAGTTAGATTTTAAAGTAAATAAATTAGAAATTCTGAATAGTGACGAGAATAATTATTCTATTTGTTTTAATGCTTTTTGTTTTTTTAACAATTAGAAATAAAAAAAAAAGAAGTCAGTTATATTTTAAGTGTTTTAATTAATAAATTTGTGTTTTATGTCGAATTATTTGATAAAAATGGTGTTAGAAATTTGTCAAGTATAAATTATGTTAATAACATAACCTATTTCGAAGATGCAAAACTTCTATTGATATAGAAATTTCTAATTAATTATAAGTTATATGTTTTTCATATTTTTCTCTATAGTTGAAATACCTAAATTATTTTTATATTTACTATTATTTATTAATTAATATTATTTGCTTTGACGTTATTTTTATTTAACATTTAATATTTTTTTTTTGTTTTTCAGCAAAGAATATTAGTAGGAAACAGAACAATCTTTATCAATTGCTTTATATTTCAACGTTTTTAAATTGTTCTTATAAAATTTAAAAGAAATAACACGTAAGTAACAAAAGAAATATTTGAAAAATATAATTTCTATTCTCTAAATAAACGTAATCTTTCAGGATGGACAGAAGAAAAAGTTTAGGAGTCGCTCTCCTTACAAATACAGTTGAAATGAATGAAGGAAATTCTTCACCATTGCGAAGAAGATCAAGTTTTGGTCTCACTATACCAAAGTCAGTCTCGACAATAGTTGAGAATGACGATGAAGCAGAACGTTTGGCACGACGACAAGATCGTCGTCAAGAAATATCGGAGACACCAATATCGTCAACATCCGATAAACGTCGTTCCCTTGGTTTATCAAATATCGCACACATTCCAGCGGGTCAAATTTCCGAAAAAATAACACAATGCATTAAACTCAGTACTGAGAATAAAATAAATGCAAAAAATGCCTTTAGTTTAGAAATTATTGATTTTATGACGTATCTCATAAAAAAGAAAGATAAAGAAATGTCAAATTTACAAGTTGCCAGCACATCTTTGGATGTGAGTGCAAAAATTTATGGATTTCGCGTTGATGGCGTACATACGGATATGTTGAAAATGATTGGCGGTCTTGATAAACAGGAGAAAAAAAATGATGACGAAAATGCTAATGGTCAGGGTGAAAATGGTCAAGATGGAGGTGAAGGAAACAATGCGGCAGATCAAATTGCACAGAAAAAGAAAAAGAAACGATCAATGAGAAATATTCTTAGCAATGAAGATGCATTAAAGGGAAATGTTGATGTAATAAATCCCATTTCATTGATAATGGGCGATGGCGATTCACAAACGACAGATCTTTTATTTCAAGCAATGTTACCATCACATGAAAATGGCAATATTTATCTACATTCATTCAATGATGTGATTTATGATACAATTGTCGAGGAGAGGCCAGCAATATCAAAGGAAATTGAATTTTCCAATGTGAGATTCAATAATGATGATGATATTTGTCCTTTGTTTTCTAATTTTCAAATTATTGGCTGGTCCGCTGATAATGAACCTGAAGAACAGCCACACAATGAAAGTAAATATCAATTTGATCTTGATGCAAGTTTACCGGCCGATGATGTTGGTAATTCGCGAATGGATATTTTTGATGTGGATGACGATTATCATGAGGATGTAGATAGATTTGGTGCCAATACAAGACAAGTGGAAAATATTATTGATTTTAGTGGTGTCATTGCTTCAAGTGGTACAAGAACTAATTTTGAGTATTCATATCTTCAAGATAGTTTAGCAAGTCAAATACAATGGGTGGGTCCTCTTCATTGGAAGGTTCGATTGAATAAATCAATTGCCAATAGTCGAGTTATTGGAAAGCCAGCTGCTCATAAAGACACTACACGAAAAAAGAAGGAAATCACAATTGATCAGAAGAAAGAGGAGGTTAGAGATGCTATTCAGGAGAAATTTCTTCCTGGTCATGCGGTGAGATTTTTAAAAATTAATTTTATATACTCAACAAAAAAAAAAAAAATTGTAAACCTCTACATTTTTAAATTAATGTTTAAAAATTTTTCAAAAAATTTTAATTTGCAGATAAAACTCCAAGTGAAAACGGCCAAAGTTGGATGGGCGGAAGATAAAATAACATTTCCAAAAAATGAGCATTACGATATGAAAAATATTGGAAGATATTATTTCCGACCACGATTGCATTTCCATATTCCGAGAGAAGAAAATATAAATACAACACATTTATCGGATGAAGTTGATAATTATAATTATAACAATGAACACGATGTCTCAAATTATTGTCCAAATATTCAAAATGACGATTACCAAAATGGTGATGATAATGATAATGGGCCTGTGAGTGGTTTTAATTCTGAATTAGAACATATAACACCATCGCAAGGAATATTTGCTGGTGATAATTTAGTTGCTGCACCAAAATTGGCAAATAAAATTTTCATTCCATATTCGTTGCGTGCTAAAAAAATTGACATGCGTCAATTGAAAAAAACAATTTGGAAATGTTTAACAAAATCAATATCCGATAAGGAAAATATCGACATTCGAGAAGCAGTTGAACAGGAATTGTCCGACAAAGTAAAAGAAGAAAAACATTTTTGTTTGGTTTATAAAGAATTGCCGAAACAACTTTCAAAATCAAATGCAGAAGCATTAAGTTTACCAATTGCTTTCGTTTCGATGTTACATTTAGCTAATGAGAAGAATCTTGAAGTGAAAATTGTCGAAAATTTGGACGATCTTTCAATAAAACAAAATTAATAAAGAATTTTGTAAAATCAATTAAACATAATTGATTCAATTTAAAAAAAAAATAGTTTAACTGACGAATGCTCTTTAATATTAACTGTATCTTGAATTGGCAATTAAGTGGCAGTTAATATAAGATGTATATATAAATACAATTAAATACTTCGATCAAATAATTGAGAGTTAGTAGATTAAGTTTTTTACAGCAATATATAAAATAATGGTAAAATTAAAAATGAAATTTTATGTTAGAAGCTTATTAATAATAAATTTCATAATTTAATTAAATTTAAAAAAAAATGTTTTAATTCTTTTAATTTTGAATAAAATTCAGTTAATAACTTCATTTGATACAAATTTTTGACATATCCGGTAACCTCTTGGAAATTTTAGAAATTGTCCATTTTAGAAAATAACTATTTTTCTAAAATTTCTTTTAATTTCTATAAAATAGAGAAATTCAGAATACTTTTTTATTATTGTTATTATTATTAATAGTATGTTTACAATGAGAAATAATTTATTAAAATTTGGAGTGAAAAAAAAGTTTTTTAATGGCAAGGAAATTTCAAATACGCCAAAACCAAATAAAACCGATTCGGACAAATTGGAAAGTGAAAAGGATCATCGCAAAAATAATTGTCGTTATAATGAATTTAATGAATATCTTCCAAGTCACAAAAGTAATGTTTCTATTGGAATTATTGGAAGTGGATGGACCGCGGCGTATACAACTTTACTTCTTAAGCAAAATCTTTTTGTAAATCGTATTCATTTTGTCGACACAAGAAATACACTCGAGGGAGCTATATCTGATGCTTCATTTATGGATACATCGCCGAAAATTAAATATTATAAAAAGAAGTTTATGCGTAATGCCCTGAAAGACGTGAGTTGAAATTTTTTACATTTTTATTATTTATTAATTTAATTTTTTAATTATCGATTTTTGTGTTAAATAATATATGAAATTTAAAACGGATGTCTTTTTTCCTATAAAGATGGACATGATCGCACTTTTGGATGAAAATGATTTCAAAATGGGAGACTCCTCGGTTTACGCTCAATTTAGATCGTCTGTTAATTATGTTCGTAAAACAGCGGAGAAAATGGTCAATTCTTGTCCAACAGCGATGGCGATAATTTTTGCTAGGCCAGTGACAGCAACTCTACCATTGGTTTCGGAAATTTATAAATGTGCAGGATGGTATGATCCAAATAGAATAATTGGATCCGTTGCTCTTGAGGCAATGCGTGTTGAATCTTTTACTTCAAGACTTCTTGATTTGAATCCTGCTTATCTCACTGTACCACTCGCTGGTGGTGCTGATGTCTTCTCCACTGTTCCTCTGTTGTCAGTGTCCAGACCCATCAATGAATTTAAAAAGGTTCAGAAAAAAAAAAATTTCAATTTAAAAAATATTTTTAGTTTTTAAAAATTAAAAAAATTTGCATCTTTAATTTTTTTTTTATATTTTTATAATTAAATGTTGACTGTAAAAATTAATATTTTTTGCAATTAATCGAAAAAAAAAAAATTGAAAAGTATTCTTTTTTTTAGGCTCACGAGGATCTTTTGATGAGTAAATTTCAAAATTCAGAAAAAGAATTATCACAAACGGAATTCGGTGGTCCAGTTCTGTCATCAGCAACTGCAATTGCAAAATTTCTAACAACTATTACAGCTGGATTAAATGGTAACAATAAAGCAATTGCCTCTGCATATGTTCGATCAAATGTATTGCCATTTTGCCGTTTTTTCACTTCGGAATTGCAATTTGGACCGAATGGCGTGGAAACAAATTTTGGATTACCAAAAGTTTCGCAAAGAGAAATTTTGCTTGTTGAAAAATCAGTTAATCTTATTAATGACTATGTGGATATTGCAATCAGTGAAGCACACAAACAAAAAGAGGCAAAAATTGCAAATTAACGTTAACATTTTTTTTTATATTTTAGTTAAACAAAAAAAAAAAAAATTAAGAATATTTTTAAATAAAATCCTAATATAAATACCATACATACATTTTAATAATCGCGTTTTAAATGTGAACAATATGGTTTTATTAAAATATTTATGTCTAAAAAAAGTTATTTAGTAATTATTTTTCTAAATAAAATTTGCAATTTTTAAGATGAATATATTAAAAATTAAAATTAACTACCTAATATATTATTTTAAATAGTATAACAAAAATAATAATATAAAATTTAACTATAAAATAATTAAATAATAATATAAAAAAGGAAAAAATAAAGAAGAAAAACAGAAAAAATACATACATTACGGATTATGATATATCAAAAGTTATTTTTAAATTTCTCATTATTTTTCATTGATAAAAAGTCATCATTGTATAAAAAGTGATTACGAGATTAATGTTTAATGCCAAAAAATATCGAAAAATGCAACTTTTATTAATAATATAAAGGTAGATAAAAATTTTTAAAAAAACTTGTAAAATTTTCATATTTTTAATTTTAATTCACAAAAGATATTTATATTACCGGGTTTCTTTTTAATTTATTTTATGAATTTGTTTATTATATTCTATTTATTATTTAAATATTTTTTTGTAGTGTTATTTTATTTGCGCGCACATTTTGTGCGCATCAATGCACAAAGCGCTCATGCGCTGTTTGTGTTCACCAGTTGATTTTTTGTTCGTTTGGCCGTTTTCATATAGTTTGAAATGTGGCTCCAGAAAGTGCAAAAAAATACGTAATGATCTATTTGTGTGATAAAATTTTGAAATGTGTATTGTTACATATGGAATTCCAATAATATTTATAATTCATTTTGCTTTTTCATTATTTCACAATAAAATTAATTGAGAGAATGAGAAAGAAAATAATGCGACGCTTTACCTGGTGAACTTGAGATTGAATCAACCGCAAATTTTAACAATATTTGCCTTGCAGCTCTTTATATTTTCTATAAATATCTTGAAATTTGTGACATTTAAATTTGGAAGCTCATTTGAACGTATTTGATACTGAGGTGAAAAAATTAAATAATTAGAGACGTCTAAATTCTAATTTAGGGACAAGAAGTGCGTTATTTTGTGCTTGTAAACAATATGTTTCTATGAAAACTAACGAAAATATTCTCTGCGAAAAGAAATCTTTATTGAGACTATTAAAATGGGTAATATCGTATCCAGATTTCGTGTAAGTATTTCACTTATGACATATTGATATTTATATATTTTCGTATCATTTTTCCGGTGATTCACACTTTTAAGGTTAGGAAATCTGTTTTACTTATATATATAGCTTTTTATTACTTTTCTTTTTTCTAGAAAAGTTTAACAAATATATTTAATAATCTAAGGTATTTTTCTAATTTCTTTTGTTTATTACAAAATATTGGTTTCTTTGTATTATATGATTAATTCTAAAATATGAAAAAACTTGAATTTTGACATTTCTGGGTATTTAACTATTTAATCATAAAATATTGAATGATTCTTCGAAATTGGACAATTAATTTATGTACAAGCATTAAAATGCAAATTAGACATTGTCATTCAATGACACGGCAGTAGGCATTGAACTCTGAATTGTTATATATTTAGGAAATCTATTCTATATACAATATATATGTATATATTATATATAGAATACGAGACATTTGTAGTATACAAAAATATATTTGATATTATATTTTTAATTCATAAACTAATCAGTAAATTTAAGTCTTTTAAAATGATATGCGTTACAAATTTTGTTTTAAAAAATATAAAAATATTTTTATAATGATTGAATTTGATGATTCATTTCTTCCTTTTGTATGCCGAAGCACTAGACAATTATGAAGTCAAGCCTATATTTAGAGGAAATGGTGTCAAAATAAATTAACATTCAACTCTTTTACATTATACAAAATAATTTATTTAACTTGAACTTTATTATTCATACGTCACCAAGGAAGTTTCGAATTTTCTTAAAACTTTTGCTACCTACCATTGAATATTAAAAAAAAATATATATATATATATATATAATTTTTAAAAAACTTTTTTGCAATATTATTATTTTTAATTAATTCATTGTCATTAATTGTGATTTATTTATTTTTTAGAAAAAGAAAACAACCATAGAGATTCTTGAAAATCTTGACAAGGTATGTGATGGAAATATATAATAATTCTGTTTTTTTCATTCACTGGAATTTTCTCAAAAAAATTTTTTTTCCAGAATATCAAAGAAATTGAAAAGTATGGACTTTTTACTGAACAAAGACACAAGAAAATAGTTGGAACTTTGGTTGCTTATAGTGTCATTTTGTACATAATAGCAGCATTAACATGTTACTTTTACTTTTTTCCTACATCGCCATACGACCAATTAATTTATGTTACGCCATTGCTCATCTTTCCAATATTGTAAGTTTTTTTTATTTTCCTATATTTATATATTAATCTAAAAATAATAATGAAATGTATGTAATGTATAATAATGAAATCAATAGAATACTAAAAGAAATAAGTAAAATATTAATCAATACCATTTATTACAATTATTATTATTATTATTATTATTATTATTATTATTATTAAATTCTCCACTATAGGATAATATTCGTTAAAAAATTAGTATCTTGGTATTATAAGCGGAAACTTCGACGAAATGAGGAAAAATTATCATCTATGCAGCAAGATAAAAAAAAGATTTTAGATGAAGTAACAGAAACTGAAACTTATAGAAAAGCCAAAGAAATTTTATTAAAGTTTGCTCCTGATCAATTGCGAATGTCACCTGTAAGTTTAAAAAAAAAGCTCTTCCTAATTTTTGATAATTAAATTTCTTTGAAATATATTTTTATTTTCAAATTTTCTACTAATAAAAAATAATTTATTTCTATTTTATAGCTGTCACCTCAGGTTAGTGCAAAATAAAATGATATTCCATCAGGTAATTTAGAATTATTGAAAAAAAAATCCAAATTTGTAATATTCACTGAAAAGGTAGTCAACAATTTACTAATCTTCTTTAAATTATATATTTAAATTTTTCTTTATGATTTAATTTAATAAAATATGTTTTTTTATATTCAGGATTACGTAGGGAATTTTTTTTTTTTTTTTAATTTCTCTAATCGTCTAATTAATCCTTGATTCTAATTTATTTTAGTCGAACTATTCCATAACATCGTCAAGTGCAGAAACACCTCGTCGTACTAATACTCCCATAACGTCCGGATTAGTTCCATCGGGTGCTTCAGAATTGAGACGTAGGGCACTTACATCAAACGCTGCTCAAGCCGGTAGATTGTCAAATGTTGGACCATTTAATGCGACTCTAAATTCTCCTCTTTTATCTCCACTTGCTTCTTCGAGCTATCAGCCTGTCAGGACAAATAATGCACCAACGACCGGTCCCAGTAATTATATTGTTTTTTTTTCTGAATTATTTTTACGATTTCTTCAATTATTTTAGGTTTGAAATTTTGATTGTTAATTTTCAAATTTTAATCTTCTTTTACAAAATATTAGCTGGAACTCCTCTTCCACGGCCGATACTTCCACAACAGAGAAGTTATTTAGATAAACTTGTGGAATATTTAGTCGGAGATGGTCCATCAAATCGATATGCCTTAATTTGTCGTCAATGCGAATCGCACAATGGAATGGCATTAAAGGAAGAATTTGAATATTTCGGTAATTAAAATTGTTTATTAAAAAATAAAGGGTGTCTACCAACTGAAAAAATTGAAATCAGTTAGGAAGTTTGAAAAATTTTTTAAATAAAAATTTAATATCATTTTGTAGGATTCAAATGCTGTTATTGTAATTTTTGGAATCCAGCACGCAAACAAAAACCATCGGCTCCTAAATTGGATTGGGACCCTAATCCTTTGAATTCATCTTCAATGGCATCGCTTACATTGTCAAATCTTGGTACCAATTTACAAGGTGCCAAACGCTCAGATACTGAGGGTTCAAGTAGTCCTTCGGAAACTGGTAATGTTTAATATATCACACATCAATTTAAAATCATCGCATCATTAATGTAAAAAATATAGAATCAACAAATGTATTTTTTTCTAGATTCGGATATTGAGGTAGTTGAAAAACCTGTCGAAACGCCAGAAAGTGAAATTCTCGAAGAAGAGGAGGAAGAGGAAAATATTAATATTGGTATGTAATTTTGTTTAAATAATTTTTAATCTATTTCAATGCAATTTAATTTTTTTGCTTGCTGTTTATTATTGTCTTTAATTAATTGAAATTGAATTAACTAAACTATTTAATTTTATTTGAAAAAAAAAACATTCTGGAATTTAGAAATTTTTTATTTCCGTAAATTTAAATATTATTACTTTAATTAAATAACAGGCTTAAATCCATCTATGGATGAAGAAGAAAGAATTGAGCAAGTCAGAGAGGAAGAATCGCAAAGTGAAATAATGGAGGTCGATCAATCTCCAATAAAGTAATTTCACTATACAATAAAATTGATTGTCTAGATTTTTTTTTAGAAAATCCACAAAATGTACCATTTTCATTCTATGGTCAATTCTTAAATGTGATGAATATTGATCTTATATTTTATAGGCACACTTGAATGTGTTTTTTTTGTAAACAAGAAAATTCATGCATATTTCTCGAAAATTCTCTCATAAGGAATTTCCTTGAGAAAAAAGTTATTCGATGACGAAATATTATAGGCCAAGGCACTATTAATAGGATGTAAAAAAAAAAAACATTTCTCTTGTTTACTCTGCTCAAAGAAATTTATCGCATAATAGAAGTTTATAGAAAAGAAAAAAAATTGAATAATTGTAGATCATATTTACAAAGAAAGAAAATTCTTTCACACATGAATTATTCGAATTAAAAATTATCGCATATAAAAAATGTTTTACATGAAAAATATTTTACACATAAAATTGTTTGTACACAAAAAAAAAAATAATCTACACATAAAAATGTTGTACGCATAAAAAATGATTTATGCATAAAAAAAATATATACTGAAAAAATTGTTTTACAGAAAAACAAAAAAAAAGGAAAAAAAATTGTTGAGCAAAATCAAAATTGTATTTTTAGAAAGTAAAATGAAGCATTTTTCAAATGTATTCAAAATGATTTTTGTATTGTACACTTTTTGGAAATTTTAGAAAAAAAAAACTTGTTCAACACTAATTTTGTATATATTTGTAAGAATTAAGAAATTAAGATTGAAAATAATAAAAGTCATATTTACGTGAATAAGGACAATAGACAATTAAATATAATTTATAAGTTAGTCAAATTTAGGTGTTTTGTGTGTGCATTAATGTTTAGTTTATTTTTAATAATGAAATACTGTATGTTTCCAAAAAAAGAAAAAAAAAAAAAAATAGAAAAAAATCTACTTTGGGTTTCGATAAAAATATATTTTGTCATATTTTGGGATATTCAACTATACTATATTTATATACATATAGATTCAAGATTGTGATATAATTTTTCTTACGTTATAAAATAGGATTACAAAACAAAATCGTCGAGTTCATATATTATATGTTTCACGAATAAATAATAGGTTCAATATTTTATTTATTTTTTGACATATTCTCATTTATTTTTAAGATTGTGTTAAACAAACGTTTAATATTGCGATTTAAATGTAAAAATTGTATCACAATTTCATACAATTTAGTAGCACAAATTGATTGAATAAAATATAATTCTTTTTTGCTGCGCTATGTTAAATGTTTAAAAACTGATTTTGTAAAATATTTAAAATTTTGCGGCAGTATATTGTTTGCCATAAAATATCATTAAAAAATTATTAAATTAATTTATATCTTAATAAAAAAAATATAGACTGAAAAATTGATCCTTGGATTAATTTGTCATAAAATCGACGAATCTCCAATATCGCTGTAGTTTTTCTGTATAATCTTATTTTATTTATAACACAATGCTTTGTATTTTTTTTCCTTAACGTTGGAAATATTTTTAAGAAGCAATAATAAATGGTCTATTACTCAAAAAACTGTGTATACCTTTAAATATAATGTTAAAATTTTGTTGAGAATCAAAATGTGTTATAATTTAAAATTGTAATTTCGTATTAAAGTACATAAATTTATATTTGACGTCATTTAATCTACTTTAAAGTATTCTACACAGTTTTAAATTGTATGCACGTATTTCATTGGCCACTGGTTTCTAATACGAATTTTGATTTGTCAAAGTAAATGACGAAGAAATAAACAGCCAATGAAAATCTTTCTTTCAAGATCATGTGTTCTAAAAGTCACTTTCTCATTTTAATCTTTCATGAAAACTAACCCCAGTTTCACTGTAAACTCGTGAAGAGTGTAAAGTCTCTGGAAAAGTAATCGTTGAACGACAAATTATTTTACAAGGTAAATCCTTTATTTTAATCAACATCTTCAGCAAATGTTAATTAATCTTTAAATCTTTTGATAATTTATTATTTAATGTTATTATTTTTGACAAAAGTGCGCGAATATATTTCCAATCAATAGAATTGTGTTGCTCCTTGAAATGAAATTTTCTCTCAACGAGTATTTACAAGCATTTAGTTTCTTAATTCGTTACTAGATCGTTGTTTATTATTAATGTTAGCTGTGTGAGTATTTTTATTAAAAAGATTGACGTGAAAAAAAAGGAAAGTTTTACAATTATAATCCGGGAAACCGGTGTAAATCACGTTATACTTTTCGTTGCTTTGTTAGGCGCCATAATAAAAAACCGCCTTTAATTGTTAATTTTGCAAACATCGTGTGCAATTAATGTTTTATTTTATATTATTTTAGTGGGGAATTAAAATTAGTCATCGAATAAATATAATTTCGACGAGTTTCCTTAAAAAGAGAATTGAACGTGGGTATAGGATTAGTTTGTTAAAAGTGGGGTGGGGATGAATGGTTATATATGGAACACGTGCAACTCTATGGGGTTCTTACATTAATTCATTTTCTTGAATATAATGTACTTTATATTTAAAATTTTTGTTTTATTTTTATCTTTCTTCATTATTTTCGTTTTTTTTTTTTTTTTTGTTAATTGCCTTTTAATTATTTGGTTTGTTATATGGAATTAATGGAATAATGTATATTTAATTTTTTTCCAAGAAAAAATAATGTCTATTAATGTTTTTTTTTTTTTTTTTTTTTATTTAAGTAATTTCTCATATCAATTGTTATCAGATTATATTATAAATGTTGGGACATTTTAATATTTTTGTTAATAAATTTTTTTTTTAAATATGATAATTGAAAATTGCCTTTTTTTAGACTTAAAAAAAAATGCCAGAATTAACTGAATTGGACAAAGCTGCGACGTCTGAGCCAACCAAGGTGGAGGCTGCAGCAGCTGGATCAGGAAGTGATTCTGATTCAGATGATACTATTCCGGAATTAGAAGACGCAGCAACAGAAGATGCTGTCGGTTTTCCCAGACCTACTGTCACTGGTCTTCCCAGTGATATTGTTTCAAAGGCGAAACAAAGCCGTGGCGAGAAAAAAGCCAGAAAACTCATGAGTAAATTGGGATTGAAACCAGTAAGAATTGAAATTAATAATGACAAATTTAATTAATATTAATAAAATCCATTGAAAATAATTACACAAAATTTCTAAATCAAATTAGATTTTTGAATAAAATAGTTTATAAAAACTATTTATTTATTTAAAAAAAAAAAAAAAAAATTTATGAAAAATTTCTAAATGATGATAGATGTGAAGGTTTCGCTTTTCAATTTCACAGTCGTAATCGAAATATGTAGAAAACCTTGGCAGACTGATATTTTTTATATAAAAAAAAAAAAAAAAACATTTTTATAATACTTGGAATAAATTAAAAAAATTAATTTGAGAAATAAAATTTTCGTTTTAGGTGCAAGGTGTAAACAGAGTGACAATTCGCAAGTCAAAAAATATTCTCTTCGTTATCAACAAACCAGACGTTCTTAAGAATCCAGCTTCGGACACTTACATTGTATTTGGAGAAGCCAAAGTAATTTAATTTCAAAATTAGACACATATTTTGAATTCTTCATATATATATTTGTTTTTAATTTGTATTTTTAGTTTTCTTTTTATATTTTTGATTTTTATTTACACAAAGTAGGGGAATATTTTAGTAAGAAAAAAAGTATTGAAAAAAAAAACTTATTTGAAATTAATATTTTTTTTAGATTGAAGATCTTAGCCAACAAGCCCAGGTGGCGGCAGCTGAGAAATTCAAGGAACCGCCAGTGATCACAGCAACTGAAGCCGGTGGCAGTACGACGGTAATTGTTTTTATAAATTTAAAAATTAATACATTATAAGTGTATTATATTTATTTTTCATACTTTATATTTGTTTGTTTAAAGGTTGTGGCACCAATTCAAGAAGAATCAGAAGAAGAGGTTGATGAATCAGGCGTCGAAGAAAAGGATATTGACCTTGTAATGAGTCAAGCGAACGTCTCGCGAGGGAAAGCGATCAGAGCTCTTAAGAATAACCACAATGATATTGTCAACGCTATAATGGTAATTGGATTCTTATATTTTTAATCGTTTTTTTCAAATTTTTATTTCAAAGTAAAAGTTTTTAGGTTTTTAAAAATATTCTCTTATTTTTCATTAAATGATGAGTATTGTGAAGGTTTCGCTTTTTTATTTCACAGTCAGGAATTGAGAACTGTTGAAAACCTTGGCAGACTGATTATATAGTAGCAATTTAATTTTAATTGATTTTTGCTTTGGAATTCGTTGAAATATTCACACGTTTCGTATTCTTTTTTTTCTGTTAACAGGAGCTGACGATGTGATGAAACAACTTCGAAGCATAATAGGCTACGGTACATTATAATTCACAATAAGGCCATTCTTTTATTTGTGAATCAACTAATCATTTTCTCTTTCACTCTCTCGCTCTTTCTTTTATCCATCCAATATTGACTTCTGCGACGAAGTAAACCCTTTCAATAACAGCATTCAACAATTTTTGGTCTCGAATGAAGAAGAAAAAAAATTAATGTATATACACAAATTCAGTAAAAAAAAAAAAAATAATAAATAAACACTTTTAATTTGTCTTCAAATCGTGCTGAAAATTCATCAAGAGACATTTTTTTTTTTTTTTATAGAAAGTAAGATAATGAAACTTGTAAAAAAAAATTTGACTGTGAATTTGCTTGAAATGTTGATTTGATATTTAGCTTTGAAAAGTTTTCGAATATAATTCATATGTTTATATAGGAAATATTATAATCTACAGTAGGTAATTTGAGATTTTACGGAAATATGTGACTAGTTCGACGTTTGTAATACAGATGACAGCATGGTTCTGTTTTCATCAGTCAAAATTAATTTATGAAATAAAATTATTAATCTGTGAAAAATAGAAATTTTTTTTATTTATTAATCTTTGTTTAAAAATTATTTTCAAAAATTTATAATTTTTATCTTCATTTTAAAAAAATATAACTTAATTATTACATTAATAAATGTAATAAATTTTGAAATAATGAGATTTAACTTTTATTAAAAGTTATTAAAATAAATTATTGATAAATTTTTCTCTAATTTGTAAAAGAAAAGTTTTTTCTTTTTTTTTTTGTCTTAAAAACTTATAAAACTTTCATTTGTGAAAAAGCAATAATGCAGTATTTCATCGGACACAAAGTATAAGAAATGAAGTGAAAGATGAAAATATGGAAAAAGAGTTTTGCAAGTCGTTTATTGCACATGTTGCCAAAGATGTGCGCGCAAAAGAAGAACGCGTTATTATTCGGAGGGAACCCTCTTCTTATATCGCTATCTCCAGGAGGGTGTAGATTCTTCTTGAGACTAATATTATTTGAGAATTTTTGCTTTTCTCTCTTATATGCGGCGACACGTGGTTGGGCTCTTAAGATCCACATTATTGCTTGTGAAAAAGTTCCGCAAAATTGTCACGCGATAAAAACAAGAACGAGGGTTGCGAAAAATTCTTCAAATGCCAAAAAAAAAAAAGAAAATTCAACCACATCAGAGGAAACTTTAATAGTTTTTAACTTTCATCTAAAATTTTACACATATGTTTCCACTTTGCAACTAGTGCGCGGGGAAATAATATGTAACATTTATTTTGAAGAAAACTTTTTAGATTAAATGTTAAAATTTTCTTTGCGAATTTTGACAGTAAAATTGAAAATTGAAAATTTCGATGTCTTAATATGGGATTTTTCTTTTCATTTTTTTTCCATTTTTATACTTTTTTTCTTTTTCTTCTTTGAATCCCTAAATTTTTCACGTTTCTTCTTTTGTTTTCTTTTCTCAAATAGAGTTTTTTAATTTTTATTTTTTCTTTTCTATCCTTTTCCACTTTCTTCTTTTTTTTTTTTTTAATTTTTGTTCTTCTTTTATTCTTAGCTATCACAGTACAAATAATAATAAATTTAAATATAATGTACTAACTTTTTACATATATCATAATATAAATGTATTATATATAATTTTGAAAAGCTAATAAATGAAGTAGCAGTGAAGCGATGAACATGTTTAAAATGATTTTATTTTTTTCGTGCGTTGCTGACACGCTTTGTAAAGAATTTTAGAGGCGATTAATTTTGCAAATTTTTAAATGTCGTGAGCCATTTAAGGCGATGGATATAAAGTGAAGCGTGACGTGACATGACATTTGTTTGTGCGTGACATAAAGATGTCCAGGCCAAACGGTGGACGACGACGTGCGAAGCATTTACAAACTCACTTAAAGCACACGCGTATGTTTATATATATATATATATATATACAAATACTTATATGTATATTATCTGATGTCCTTTTTTTATATATATTTTTTTCCTTTCTGTCGCAGGGTCATTAGTTAAGAATCATATATATATATATACTTCCTAAGATGGATTAGCAGTTTTGCTTATTCACTCCTACATCTAAATTTCACTTCATTCTTTTCTTCATTTCTGTTCATACATATTTATAATTATATTTTTTTTATTATTTGTATTTTTTTACTATTTAAAATAATTTATTTTTGATAAGGAAATTTTTTTAAAAATTGTTTAAAAAATGAAAATGAAGAAATAGAAGATAAGATATAGATATAATAAAATGGATGGTCCTTGTTATAATTTTAGTGTTTAAAAATAATGATAATAATAATAATAAAAAATATACATGAAAAAAACCATCTTTTATAACATAAGAAAGATATAATAGTAATAAAGAAAAAACAGAAAAAAGAATCGAAAAAATATTCTAATAAGGAAGAAAGAAAGAAATGGACTTTTACAAAAAAAAACTGAAAGAAGAAACTAATGAGCATCAATAAGAAATTAATGAACCATTTTCGGAAGAAATAATATAGTGATTTTTTTTCAAACTTTGTGCAAAAGAGAATAATAAAATTTGATTAGTATTGTAAATTCCTATACTAAAAATCACACTTTTCTATAACAAATTAGAATAAAACAATATATTTTCCACGAAAAAAAAAAAAAAAATTGATTACAAACACGAAATTGGCTTAATTTTATAGTTCAACAGTTTCTTATATAAAAGAAAGAAAGTACAATTCTTTCATTTTATTCTAAATATCGTGAAAGTTAAAAGTGTTAAAATATTGTAAAAAAATATATATGGGCAAATCCACAGAACCGGCCGATTTTTACTTATCAAGATGAAAATTTTCCAAATAGCAAGCACACCTTTTATTTATGGTTTACTTTCTTTAAAATATATTCAAGAACAATTATCTTCTTGCGTGATTCATTTTATTTTAATGCCGTTTGAGTTAAAAGCCAAAAACGAAAATATTATTTTTCTTCTGGAAATTATAATTAAAAATGGCATTTCTTTGTTTTTTTTTATATATTATTTGAAATATGTGCAAAACATTTTGAATAATAAAATATGATAAAATACAAATAATTAATTTTTTAATTATCAAAAATAAATTATTTATATTTTATCATATTTTATTATATATTTTATTTATTAGCATTTAATTTTTTATTTCTGTAAATTAAATTGTTTACTTACTAATTTTGATATTAACTATTTTAACCAACAAACTGACATTATTGACATCGATTTTGATATAACTTTGAAAATAAAACAAATGAAAGGATAATTCATTTTTCACGATTAACTAGTTAAATTTCGATAAATTTTTTTTTATTTTTAATTTTTAGACGTTATAAATTGAAAATATAATTTGGCGTTTGCATACAAGAATTATAATAATGTCTTTATATAATCACACATGTTTTCAACTCATCATATTTTATCCTGTAGTTGTGCTACTGAAAAAAGGCTAAGTTGAAAATGGTTCACGCTTAAACATAGAGTGATAATTATTGGAATATTTTCTTTAATTCTGATTGCACTCTATTCTATGATACATACATTTGTTCGTCTGTTCACAAGCAATAAGCTCCAATTTGAAAAATTCAAATCGAATAATCGCCGCAAAAGATATTTACAAAAATGTATAGACATTTCATTATTATAAAATAATGAGTAACGCTACTTTCAACGACTATCATTTCTTTTTATTTAAGAGCACATATTTTTTATTACTTTCAAAACATTCTTCAATAAGTAAACTATAATTCACCACAGTTTGGAATTGTTCGGATCTATGCCGAACAAGTTATACCTATAAGAATTAAAATTTATACCTGGAGTAACACCGTAAATTTCATTTTTTAAGTTACTTAATTCGATTTTATTTTTTATAAAAGACTAGAAGGTTCACATTTATTCAATTTTCTTATTTCAATAGATTCTCAGAGATATTACAAAATGGTTGAAGTATGAAAATAATTAATATAATACTTCTAAAATAGAAAAATATGTGAGTAACATGAAATCGGCCGGTTCTGTGGATTTGCCCATATATATATAAATATTTCCATTTTACCGCACATATTTTTATAGCTTCCTTAATATTTTTTCATATTTGGTTATATATTTCAACCAATTTTACATAATAGAGAAGTTCCTCATCTATAAAAAAAATATGATATTAAAAATTCAATAAGAAATAAGCGCATATCTTATTAAATAGGAAGTTTTGTTTAAATACACGCATTTTTTTTCATTCAAATTCAACAGAAAAGACAGACAGCAGAAAATTTTTCTCTTCCGGGATACATCGCACAGGTTTTACTGTCAATTTCACATGGGGGCTAGTTGCTGTTTACAATATAAAGTATATATATATATATATATACGCAAAGACGAGCTCTCGTTACACGAAGAAACTAAACTCTGCTTTAACGATCTCCATTTGAGGATTTCCGCATAGTATGGAGGATTATATACCATGGGGTCGCGTGCCATTCCATCTCTAAGAGAAAAGGGGCTTTTGTTGTCTTGGGAATAATGAATTTACAATATATAAACCTTTTTTTTAATGAATTTACAATATATAAACCTTTTTTTACAGGTATATATATATACATAACAAGAGAAAATATAAAAGAAGAAATTAATCATTTTTATTATTTACTGATAATTATACATTGAAAAAAATTTATTTGATTCAAATATTCAATTACTTGACTATTATATCAAATAAATATTTACTTGAACAAAGTAATTTTTATTTGAATTAAATGAACAAACATAAGAAAAGTATAATGTTTTTTCATGAAAAACAAATATATTTTATTTAGTATTTTCATATGTAACAATTCTTTTCGTCTAAATCGCACAAAATTAGTTAAATTGGTATCATTTTTGTTGCAGTTCAAAATGAACGCAAGGCTGAGGGAAAATTAAGTAGTAATTCATAACTGGTGGCCTCTAAGAGCAGAGGCTTTGAAGCGATAATTCGCACAGGGACCAGTCGATCGCCTTCTGAGATCAAGGTCGCGCTCGGCAACTTTGCTATACGCGAAGGCTCGACAGAAGAGGTAGCGTTGATCCCGAAGCGTCGTCTTCATCAGTATATATATATAGTGTAATGCATATAAGATAAGAAAACGTTTTCGACACCCAAGCTTAGTTTATATATATATATATATTCTTCGTCTTATTCTTTCTTCATCGTCATTATACATATCTTCTTCTGCGATAATCATACCGAGAGGGCATATATATGTATACTTTCAATATAATCGTGAAATAATGGTGACAGAACGGCAACGGGCTGTCCTGTGAGATTATAATGATTCTGCCGATGATAGTTTGCTTCGTTATTATATACATATAGCGACTGAACGAGCGCAAGCAAAGAGTTCGTGTTTATAGGGCTGGAAGCGATTGCCCGACGCCATTACTCACACCGTTTGCGCTTGCCACATGGCACGACATCTTCCCCATATATACTATATCTTTCTTCCCTATATACTCTTCTTTGAAAAAAAATTTTCTTTTCTACCTTCCTTTTTCGTAT